GCCCCAATGAGCCATAATAATGGTGTGGAGTGAGTTTTCTTACATACCAGAAATAATAAGACTTTCTTTTCTCTCTTCTTCCCCCTTCTCTCTCTCTCCCTCCATCCATCCAATCCTCTCTCACTCTCTTTCCTTTTTTTCTCTCTCTTTATCTATCTATCTCTTTGTAACACTCGTCTTCCATAATAGATCAGTTGAGGACTTGAGGGATCAAAGGTAAGATTTTTGGGAAAAACATTGTGCCACGACATGGAGAATGAAGTGCCACAATGTGGCGTTGCAATTTCAAGAAACGTGCATTCTGGTGCAGCCCACGACATGGTAAGGTTTTTGGCCACGACGTGGCAGCCGTTTTATGCTAAACCCTCATTTTCGGGGTTTGTGCCCCCATTTAAGGGATGTGATGGCTAGGGTTTGCTCACCCTCAACCTCTATCACCTCATCTTGACCTAGATCAAACCTTACCTCGATTGTTGAGTTATTGAAGCTTTTTGGTGGGTTTTGGGGATTTTGAAGGAGAAGAAGGTGTCCCTTGAGTAAAGATCCAGCAAGCAAGTTCCCTCACCGCCTTGTAGCACATATTATGGACCATTGTAAGTCCTTAAGTTCCAATCTTTATGTGACATGGTTCTAGGTCTAGGCTTTTATGCATTTTTCTCCATGCTTGGGAGAGTTTGAGTGGATGGATTCCACAAAGTTGGAAACTTTATGAATCCTTGAGGTCCTTTTGAGGTTTAGAGTTCTAGATCTGAATAATGGTTGAGTTTTGGTTCCATACATGAGGTTTTGACCTCATTTTCACCATTTTTGACCTAACCAAGTTCAAGACATGCATTGGACATGCATGTAAATAAAGCAAGGGTTTTTATGAAGCTTATGGACGTTAGGAATCTTTCTGTAAGAGATGAGAATGTGGCTTAATGGATTACTGGCTTAATCCATTAAGTTGTACAGAAGCAGTTCTCATGGCGTGGCATCATGCTCACCACGCCGTGGAGGAGGGGGTTCTTCACGACTTATTTGTTTGGGTTGCTGTCACAGTGTGGTGGCTGGTCTGGTCATGATTGTTTTGTCGTGAAGCTGCCACGATGTGGTGGCTAGTTGTTGACTTTTTAACCAGTTTGAATTTTGGTCAGGCTTGGGTAGGACCGAGTATTTAGCTAAGGATATATCTATGTTTGGTGTTAGTCGGTTCGCGGGAGCAATAAGAACAGGGAGTGAGTGCGTTGCTGTGTGCCATGTGTCTTCGATTCAAGTAAGTTTCCTCACTATATTACCTATGTCATATTAGGGTGCATGCTAGACTAGTTGAGTCTTATTGTTGATTGTTGTTATGTGTATTTACCGAGTTGCTGATAACTCCAGGACTGTTGATAGTATCATAGTTGCTGATAACCCATAGTTGTTTATTATGTTGTGTTGTATGTGGTATTTTGAGGGAACTCGCTAAACTTTGGATTACAGTTGTGGACTAAATGTTTTTCATGTACCATTGGTGATCGTGGGAAGGTGAATGTGTGACTATACACACTCATCAACAACATTAGAAATTCTGCATTTATTATATTACTCTGATTTTTAAACAATTATAATTTTTGGAACAAATGAATTTCTTAACTTGGATTTTATTAAATGGTGTTTTATTTTAATTAAAAATAAAAAAAAACTGTTTGTGAAAATGGGATGTTACTCTCTCTCTCTCTCTCTCTCTCCACATAAAAACCGCCCCGTGGGCTAATGATACTAGTGAAATGGTGTTGTGATGAGGTAGCCACCACCCCTCTTTGGCACCTTCGTGCGTCTGCATTCTGGATGGCCTTAACAGGCTCAACTGGACATTCTTTGTTAATGAATTATTTTTTAAAGAAATTAGCCAATTTTTTTAAAAAATCAACCTCACGAAAAGATGTATAATTCATGCAAACGTTTTTCAAAAATTTATGATTTTGAATTTAACCATTAAGTTTTGTGGCACTAAAATCTTATTAATTATTCTTGTTACTTAGTCAATATCCTATTATAAATTTATTTAATCCATATTAAAAACTCTAGAGAAACCTTTCTTATGTCCCGTGAACATGCATGATATCTCTTAATGACTAAAGTTTGTGATAATTTTCTTTGCTAGTCTTAAAATAAAGGGAAAAGGACAAAAATAACCACTCTTTTATTTTTTTATTAGAAAAACAACTAAAATTAAGCAAATTCCCTTTAATAACCACTACTTTTGCATGCTCACCACGAAATGAGGAAGACCTTAGACCATCTGGTATACATTGCATGAGAGGTTCCGTGGTTGAGCTGGACCACGACCATGGCCGGCCGACCGTGCACACCATCCCGGCCGGTCGTGATCGATCGTGGTCATGCTCCTTCGTGTTGCCGACAACGAACGTAAATGACGAATCAAAATGGTTTCCTCCTTCTTGACCGTTCAAATGTCATGTTTTAAGTTTTTTTCTTTTTTTTTTGTTTTTTTTTTGTTTTTACAAAAACTTAGTACCTATATAAATCTAATAAAACCCTCACCTTTCATCACATTTTACTCTCATTCTATAAACCAAAAAACACATGGACGATTTGGAATTATTTAAAAGTTTGGACTCGGATGATGACGGGGAATTCATTTCGACCTTCTTCAATGTTGTGCAACACATTCACGATGAAGAAAGTTTGGATGTTGCTTGTACAAGGGCGGTCGTCAATCGTGATCGCCAAGCCGCACACGACTTATTGGTACGTGATTACTTTGCCGATAATTGTCTTTACAATGATGACTCGTTCAAACGTCGTTTTCGTCTAAATAAGGCTATATTTTTACGTATTAGTAATGCTTTATAAGCCCGTTATGATTGTTTCAAATAAAAACCTGATGCTAGAGGAATAATGAGTTTTAGTAGTATACAAAAGTGTGTGGCCGCGCTTAGGTATTTGGGATACGATATAACATTTGATGCATCCGACGAATACTTGAAAATATCCGAGAGGACCGTAGTTGATTGTGTAGATTGGTTTTGTGCATGTGTGTATGAGGTTTTTCATCAACAATATTTGCGTAAACCTACTCCCCGGGATATTAAGAGATTATATTCGGCTCATGTAGAGAGGCATGGATTTCCGGGTATGCTTGGCAGTCTAGATTGTACGCATGTGGCTTGGGAAAAATGTCCAACTGCATGGCGTGCTCAATTCACTCGGGCAGATATATGTGGACCAAGTATAATCCAAAAAGCTGTTGCATCTCAGGATTTATGGATATGACATTCTTTTTTTGGAGTCGCGGGGTCTAACAACGACATTAACATTCTTGGTCAATCTCCATTTTTCAACGATCTTTAGACCAGCAAAGCACCTGATATGATGCTCACGGTGAACGGACATTCGTACAAATACGGTTACTACCTTTGTGATGGGATATACCCGAATTATTCTACACTTATGAAGGTATATTCAGTTTCTCAAAGTGAAAATGCAAAGTTGTTCACAAAGAGGCAGGAATCAGCGAGGAAGGATATCGAGAGGGCATTTGGAGTCCTTAAGCAGACATGACATGTGTGAAGTACGCTACACGACTTTGGGATAAGGAATGAATTAAAAAAATGGTCCTAGCATGTATTATAATGCATAATATGATCATTGAAGACCAAGGTCGATCGATTTGCACGTATGATCTCGAAGACGTCGTCATCCCGCTTGAAGTGTTCGTACCCGGAAGGAATGAATTTTTATCACGAGTGTTGAAATTCATAACAGCGAAACGTGTTTCAATCTTCGAGAAGATGCCGCAGATCATTTGTACGAAGCCAACATCAACGGAGATTCAATTTTTATTTTTTTTTTTTTTTAATTTAGGTTATTTAAGTTAATGTAATGTTTTTTTTTAATTCTAAGTTAATTAAGTAATGTAGTTTGAAGTTGTATTTTTATTTTTATAATTAATGAAAAACTAGTTAAAAAAAATTCAATGTTTTTTTATTATTATTTTCAAAAAATGTAATTTTATTGTATTTTTGAATTAAAAAAAATAAAAGAAAATGATGTGGAGTTGAGTGGTTAGTGATGGGTATCTCATAAGTTTAGTGGTAGTTTGTAGTGATGACGTAACACCCACTACTATAGTGGTTAGTTATGGGACGGTTAAAATGACATTTTTGCCAGCCTACTTAATAGAGAATTTTAGGATAATAATTTTGGTCGGAGATGCATATTGTGGTTGGATTGTTAGCATGTTACCTTTCCACAAAAGAGACTTGAATTTGGATTTTGACGGCCCTATTTTTCTTTTTAGGGGAAATTATAATAAGACTTATTGAGATGTATAGTTTAGACTTGTTACAAAAATACCGTGTCATTCCGAAGTCGGTCAAAAAAAAAAAGAGAAACCGGACAAACTCAAGACCAGTACCACAACCCATTTTACATATAAACCCGAATACAAATCTGATAAAAACGAATGAAAATATTGCGGGACCGAACTAGTCTAACGAGACTTGGCTCGAAAAAAAAATGATTGAAACCACTTTTGGAAAAGACTTCTAAAATTTCTTTACACGATATTTACTAGATAAATTGATTATCATGCACCAAAAAATAATAAACATTTTTTTTCCGGCAATTATTCCTTTAGTTTCAACATTTTGTTTTGGTTAATGTCATAAAAATGTAACCAACTATTTAAAATGTTTTTAAACACCATTCAACTAAAAAATGTTATCAAAATGTAACAAACTATTCTTCTGGTTTGTAAAATATCATTCAAATTGTTGTTTTGTTTTGTAAAATATCAATTCTGCTCTTTTTAAAAACAAGACAATAAATCCCTTTTATGATGTTTCTTAGTTAAATGATGTTTCAAACATTTTAGATATTTGGTTACTTATTTATTTATTTATTTATTTATACAAAAATGTTATAAATTAATAACTAATTTTTTTTATAACTCATTCCTTTTCCCGCTCTTATATATGCTTTTAGCGCCTCGTCCAACCCAAATCCAATTGACATTTCACCCCAAATCCAAATTGCAATGGCTCGAAAGAAGCCCTCATCGTCTTCTTCACCAATCACGATAGGTAAAGAATTTGACTTTCTCCATTTACGCAAGAACCCTAGAATCGGCTTTACATCTATATGAATTTGCTTATGTCAGGGAACTGTCAGGTGGTTGTTGAAGCAAAGAACTTCAAAGCCGAGTCCAACCAAAACAACCTTCAAATATCCCTTTCCAGAAACTCCAAAATCGTGATCTCTGGTATTCATATGATGAACTACAAGAAATGATTTTTTCTCTATGTCACTGTTAATTCTAAATCGTTTGATCTTAACAAAAAGAACTTATTAGCTCTCTTAACCATGACGTTTCTAAAGTAATTGATCCACTTTACGGCATTATAGTTTGCGGGAAATAACGAAAGGGCTTCTACTTGATGTGCTATTTTCCAGAAAAATCCACTGTTTCTTTTGTTACTCTAAACTAATTTTAGTATATTTTTCCGTTTTTTCTTGATTGCTTAGCAGTGAACAACAACGCAGTTTCATTAAATTGGGATTTGGGGCTTTGGGCTTTCTAGAGAAAACAGTCGTTTTTTCTGACCTTGCTGTGATTGCCATGGCTGATTTTCTTCTCTTTTTTCTTTCTCACCAAATCTATTGTTTGTGGCAGTTGTGGAGGATGCACATGAAAAAGAACATAATGGCATCCGATTGTCTAGTTTGGGAGAAAATGGTAATATACTCATATTCCGTTAACTGATTCGTACACTTTACTATTGATCAAATATATAAAATACAATTCAATATCAAAAAATGGGGGGAATTCCATGGACCGAAGTTAGTCCTATCAAATAACCTGTAATCATAAAACGAACAAAAAGTATGTTCTTAGCTTTACAAAATTTCCAAATAAGGGAAATGTTTTGATTAATAATTTAATATGGAGACCCCAAAATGGGAATGTTGCAACTTTAGGAAGGAGGGAATGTTTTCTATATTAACGACTATGGGCTTGAGAATTACTTCTTGAACATTGTTAAGTGATAATTATTTACTCATTTCAATTTTTACTACTTCTAATCAGGAGATTATAACTTCGTGCTTGTTAACCCTAAGGATTCTGATGTTCAATCAAAGTCTCTACTCCAAGTAACTCATCTTTCTCTCTCTCTATATATACACATTCACATATACATAATAGTCATTATATTATCCATCTTTAAGTGCTCATGTATCATCAATCATGTTTTGTAGGAAATATTAAGCTTATACACGAAAGAACTACCATCAATGAATTATGCTGCAAATACTGGAAAGAAATCTATGTTCCTTGACAGATGTGTATCCAATGGGTAGTTAAATTATCTGCTTCCAGAATCTTTCTTTCTAACGTTACTTGCTAATTGCTATATCAGTTTCATAATCTTATTAATGCAGCAAGTATTGTACGCTGGTTTTGAAATCTAAGTCTATGGAAGGTTCTGGAGAGGTATGTTTATATTAATTAGATTGAATGAACAGATACAATGTTTGTTGCTTGCAGTCAATTTACTTTTATACCCCTGTACAGGTTGTTGCTGCAATTAGTTTTCAAATAATCCCTGCTGATACCCAATATGCAGAGGTTCCACTTGCTGCTGTCAGTTCAATTTACCAACATAAGGTCTTCCTTTGATACATAATTAGTCCAAAGTTTCTTGATTTATTACACAATTAACTTAATTTTGAACCTCACACTCACAGGGCATTGGGCACCTCATATATCTGGAAATGAGGAAAAGGCTACAGAGTGTTGGTGTTCATTCTATATTTTGCTGGGCAGATGAGGAATCTGAAGGATTTTGGCTCAAACAGGTAACAAATTAGTTCTTTCTATTGTAGTTGTTTTGATAAATCATGTCATGTGTTTGTTTGTGTAGTTTTGTTATTTAGATGCATTTAATTATGAAAATGACAGGGATTTATATCAGTTGGTGAAGTAGATGCCAAGGGTAAAGCTAGAAAGTTGGCAATTAAAGCAGATATCAGGAAAGCTTTATGCTTTCCAGGTGGTTCAACCCTCATGATTGCTCATCTTCACAATGAATCTTCTGCAGTCTGTTTACAAGTTTCTTCTCTTTTGAAGTCTCATGAAAAGTCAACAACTGTTTCCATTGGTCAAAGTCAACATCCTGGACCTGGAGTTGAAAATCTGATAACAGGTTGCCAAGATCTTGTCTGTATGGATAGTCTGGAATGCATGAATACAGACAACAATTTAGAAGGTATCAAAATTAGTACTGATGCTGATGCTTCTAGACTTTGTTCATGTTCTTCATCTGGTGCAAAGAAGAGGACTTGGGAATCCTCTCATACCTCACTCAAGTCAAAAAAAGTCAAAGGAGGTCATATGATTGTGTGTCAATCAGAAAGCGGTTGTGTTTCAAGAAATAATAAAACAACTAATAATCATAATAATTCCTATAAAATCATGCTAATGAACATTGCGGATGATGCTAAAAAATCAAATCTTACAAAGGTAAAGTATTTTAGTTTAATCTCTTAAATTTTCTCTTTGTTTGTTTCTTTAATGTTTATAAAATTAGCACAGATAATTGAGGATCTCGGTGGCTCTGTTACATCTGATGGAAGAGTAAGCACACATGTAATCACTGGAAAAGTCAGAAAAACTTTAAATTTTTGTACAGCTCTTTGCTCAGGGTGAGTTTTACTTAATTTTAAGTTTCAAGATAGAATTTTTTTTTTCCAAAATTATTATTTATTACTTCAAGTTTCATGTATACAGAGCTTGGGTGATATCACCTGCATGGCTAAAAGAAAGCTTCAGAGAAGGCAGATTCGTAGGTGAGTTAACAATTTCAGTCTAGAAAAGAAGGGCAAAATGGTCATTTTTATTTAAAAAAAAATATATATATATTCTACAGATGAAACGGATTACATTGTGAAAGATGTTGAATATGAGTTGAAGTATCGAACAGAGTTAAAGAATACAGTAGTTAAAGCAAGAGCAAATCCTGGAGGCTTACTTAAAGGATTTGAAGTATGTCTTGCAGCTCATGTGCAGCCTCCTGTGAGTACTATGTCGGCTATTGTGAGGTCTGCAGGTGGAAATGTAAGTCGAATACTTCCTTTTTATTAAAAAGAAAAAAAAAGTGAATGAATTAAAAATATATATATATTTAGGTGATTGGGACTGTTGAAAAAGCAAAGGATTCAGGGAAAACGATATTTGTTGCAAGTGAAGAGGGTATGGAAGAAGCATTGTCAGCTGTGAAGAAAGGGATTGCTACTTTTAGTAATGAGTGGTTTATGAATTGTGTCATGAAACAGGAGCTAGACTTAGAGGCTCCTAAATTTGCTGAATCTCTTTAAACTTTAAGTTAAGTTTTGAAGAATTATTGTAAGAATTGATATGCCCACTTGTAAAAATTTATACTTTTTTTTATTATTATATTATTATTATTATTTAAGTATTAGTTTTGGATTTTGTTTAGGATTTGTGTTATTAAGGATTTGTTTAGGTTTAGGTGGAGATTATAAATAAATCCCCATAGGAACGTATATCAGGGAACCGTAATCTGTATCAACAATTTCTGGCAATCCGGTACGTACGGGACTATGTAAGTAATTTTGAACAAGTATCGTGCCAGCTGGGTGACATACCAGAAGGAACTTTCATTAACAGCCTCGAAGACGAGACACGTTCAGTGGGGGAACTTGTTTTTCATAATTATATAAAATATAAAATAAGGTTAAGTTTACGATAAATATAAAATATTTTCATAATTTACTCAACATGATTTTTAATACATTTAATGTAACAAAGTTACAATTTTATACTCTTACAATCTCATGATTAATCAACTAGTATAGTGTTACCATCTAAATATGTTGGCTACCAAACATATCAGCTATAAATTATTTATAAATGTTGAAATTATTTGGTACAAATTTGACAACCTTGCTCACATTGTTGATTTTTACAAAAGGGAATATGACTTGGTAAGGTAATTAACTTTTCGGTATGTTCATATCTGGGTAATTATCTTTTTTTTGTACACATCTAGGTAACAAACTTGTTGGAAATGTTCACATATGACCATTATGACCTGCTATAGCAGGTAAAATCCTAGATGTGAACGCTTCCAACAAGTTCGTTACCTAGATGTGTACAAAAAAAATAGTTACCTAAATATGAACAAAACGAAAAGTAAAAATTAAATTAGACGAATGGTCCCTGTGGTTTGGGGGAATATGTGTTTTTGTCCTTAACTTATTTTTTTAACTTGGATGGTCCCTACTGTTTATTTTTGTTGCGCGTTTGGTCCCTGTCTTACCTAAAAAGACTATTTTGCCCTTATTAATTTATTTTTTAATTAATTTTCTTATTTTTGTATTTATTTTTTATATATTTAAAAAATTAATATACCCCACATATCATGTAATTTAAGTTAGGGACCAAAAACACAAATTCCCCCAACCACAGAGACCATTCGTGTAATTTAATTTTTACTTTTCGTTTTGTTCATATTTGGGTAACTATTTTTTTTGTACACATCTAGGTAACGAACTTGTTGAAAGCGTTCACATCTAGGATTTAACTTGCTATAGCAAGTCATAATGGTCATATGTGAACACTTCCAAGAAGTTTGTTACCTAGATGTGTACAAAAAAAAAGATAGTTATCCAGATGTGAACATAACGAAAAGTTAATTACCTTAATAAGTCATATTCCCTTTACAAAACTAGATGAAATGAAATCAAATACTCCCTCCGTCCCAAAATTATTGTCCACGTTTGACTTTTTAAGTCCTTTTTGTTCAACTTTGACCTCAAATAATTTACTTTTTGTTATATAATTTTTTATGCAAGATATATGAATAGATTGTTTTTTAAATGTATTTTCATTGTTATAAGTTTCATCAAAATTTATATAACACAAATAAAGTTATTTATGGTCAAAGTTGATATGGAAAGACTTCAAAAGTCAAACGTGGACAATAATTTTGGGACGGAGGGACTATGACATAAAATGATGATGTAGACATTGGTGTTATATTTAGGAAGTCAAACTATCAATTTGCAAAAAAGAAAAAGCACATGGATCACAATCAAGAAAACCATGGATACCTCCAACTTCATTTGGATTATAAAACCTGTACGAAACAGTTAACAAAATTTCTAATTTCAATCTAAAAAGTCAAACTACATTTCTGTTTTGATGAATAAGAACAAAGAGATTTAGTCAATTTGCCTCATCCAAATGCTTCTGATACAATTTCAACAGTTCTGGGGCTTCCTCTACATACCTCTTCACAAGCCATTTGAGAAACTTGCTTTCTGAATACATCAACCACTTGTTGAAGCAGAAACCATCTTTCTCCTCGATCAATCCTTTCTCTGCTAAATACTGATAAACCAAACACCTAGGAATAATCCTCTTCTCTGAGCTAAAACAAATAACTATTGGCCATTGAACAATGTAGCTTCTTTCCCACCCCATCGTATTAACAAGAAAATCCAAGATTCTTGAAATTTTATCAGGTGAAGCCATCATACACCCTGGATATTTCTCAAAAGCCACAAATATCTCATCTTCAGACCAACCCCATTTCTTATAAAGCTCCACCTTCTTATCCCATGTCGATTTGCTCATTGCCCTGATAGCATGAATCGCCCAAAGAAATCTTGATTTTGAAGGGTCAAACCCCATTTCCTTCACATCCCCAACAACCTTTTTAAATCTATCAGCAGATGTAAAGAAAGTTCTAGGTTGTTGCGCTAACATTGATGATATTCTAAGTTTAGGAACCCCTGTATCAAGTAGAAGTTGAATGTTTTCAGCAGCATAGACTTTTAAATCGTAAGTTAAAGCAAGAGGGAAGCGCTTAATGCAACTGATAACTTTATCATCGGACCCTAAAACGCTTTTTAAGTAGTTAATACATGGAATGGCTGTATCTTGCAGCTTTTTAGCCAAAATACCTTTCGGTCTAGCGGCTACAATTGCAGCAATATCGGTATTTGAAAGACCTAATGAATTCAAAGTCTGGAAACTAGGTAAAAGTGTCGTTTCAGGATCGGATAATAGGAGTTTGGGGCGCGTATAAATCACCTTTGAAACTTGTGATTTGGTGAACCCATAGTTGTTGAGAAAGGCCAGAACAGAGTCTGCCGTGTTTAGGGATTTTGATAGATCTAGATGTTTGGAGACTAGAATTGCATACTCGGAAGAAATCCCACATGAATTGATGAGGTAAGTTACTGTAAATGAGTGTTGATTCAAGGAAGCTGATGTTTTGGTTGTAAATGGGGACGACTTGGACGAGGAAGAGGATAAGGAGCCATAGCAGCACAGTTCGTGGTTGATATGAGGCCTCGCATGGATTAAAAATCTTCTACGTATGAAATTAAACACCATTGCAACTCACGATTAAGAGTTTTAAAATAGCACCTTATATACGAACCTTGAGCACTAAACCCTATTTTTCGAGAGAGAAATCCCTTAGGCTATGATGCGGCTTCATTTTCATCGGTAAGACACATAATGACATAGGGACGTGAAGAAAACATTATTTTGTTCAAAAGAGATCAAAAAGGGGTAAACACGAATTGAAAGAAATTACAACAAAAATAAGATCAAAACTCACATGTTGAAACAACCCTGGCACTTCACGTCCTGTAATTGCAAAATTATAAGTTATTAGATACAAATTAGGGTTTTGTATAGAAAAATAAATAAAAGAAGCCTAGATACCATGAAGAAAGAGTTTGGTGACTGGACCAGACGTTTCAACTTATGCATCTTCTTCTCTAACTCAGTTGGGGGATTAAGCAGATCGAAATCGTTTGACAGACCATATAATGTTCGATAAATCCATTATCACACATAAACACATATTGCATTTAGCATGATAGAATTTTGAAACGAGAAACTCACCATGTTGTTTCGAACGTATCAACAGTTAACGATATTGGAGATAGAAGAATACAACTCGGAATTACAGTAGTTTCTTCCCTAAACCATAAACGATACTGCACATTCTACATATAATACGACGCTAGATCAGTTGTGTTTGATTTCAGACCGTTGATCTAGGGTAAGGCCCGTTCGCAAACTGGGCTGGGAAGCGGAAACAATCTATAGCCCATAACCAAAACCGGAAAACCAATAATGGTATTGGGTATCCATTTTTAATGTTTTTGTATCAGTTTCCTACATTCAAATAAGATGTTATGGACATTATTTGATATAATTTTTATTGGATCTCATAAAAGGTTGGATATACAGTTTGATATACCGTTCGATATACCGTTCGATATCATATTTAGATTTTTTTTTTATTTCATCTTCGTTCGTTTAGATTTATGGTTATATATGACTCAATAACTCGATTAAATCTCCAACCAACAACTATGGGTGTTCAAAACCGGATATCCGAGAATTCGGATATCCGAAAATTCGGATAGTAGATTTTAGGTATCCGAATCCGTATTCGGAATTTCGGATATCCGAAATTTCGGATACGGATTCGGATATTGTTATCGGATATCCGAAATTTATTTCTACTTTTCTAGTATTAAGAACAAAATAAACCTCAACTCAATTAGATTAAACATGCAAAAAAAAATTTGAAAAAAATATGCAATATATAGAACTTATAATTCGGTTACATATAATAAGAAAACTTTCTTTCCTACAATGTAAATAATTTCAATTCTTCCGTCGTGAAATGACACCTAATGCTTCTTTTAACTTTCTAGTAATATACCTGATTAATTAATTTACGTACCAAGAAAATTTATTTTCATTGTGCATCAATGCATGATACATTCAAACATATTCAACAAATGTTCATACCAAACCCAATACATAAGTTGAAAGCTCTATCTACTCGTTTTATCATAGATAATATTAGTGAGCAATTTTAATACGTTTAATGTACCAAAAGAAATATATATAAGTACATTAAACAAGATGTTATATACACCTACAAATTTATTCAAAGTCATTGCAAAAAAATATAACGACTAATAATAAATCAAAGTGCACTTCAATTTGAAAATTGATTCAAAATTTATACATTTTACTGCTAATTACCATGTTATATTCACCCATAATTTTGTATTTTTTAATTTCAAGTTAAGAAAAACTATACTAATATAAATAATTTAAAATATATATATTATATATTTCGGATATCGGATATCCGAAATATCCGAAAATTTTGAAATTTACAATCCGAATCCGAATCCGAAAAGCCGGATATCCGAAATTTCGGATAATTTCGGATCGAATTTTCGGATTTTTCGGATCGGATGTTCGGATGCGGATATTTTTGAACACCCCTACCAACAACTACCAAGCAATCTTGAAATTCTACAAAGTTTTCTTTTTTTATTATACACCACAAAATTTAACAAACCCCTTTAAAAATATATTTATTTCAACAAGTCCATATATTATAAAGTTATTGGATAATACCTGATACATCTTCTAAAAACTACAAGGGAAAACCCTAGAAAAACCCAACATATTATCATCCAATGCTCGAAAAAACCATTATGTTATTTTTTGTACGATAACACCATTTTATTTGTTAATCATGCTTAAAATAATGCCTTGTAACCGGAAAACCCTTGATAGCCGGCTACCTAAAATTTGTGACATGAAAAAAACCCAACCTATTATCCTCTAATGCTCGAAAAAGCCATTATGTTATTTTTGTACTAAAAAACCATTTTATTTTCTAATTTTGTACAATAAAACTGATGCGGGCCCTAGTGTGGAGGATCGGGCACTTGCGTTCCTAGAGGCCCACGATCGCGTGACTAAAGGGGCTTCACGGAAACGACCATAACTTTGGCTACGGATCTCCGTTTTGGGCCTACGACCAGTCAAATCGAAGCTTGAAGCAAGGAAGGGGACTTACCCATTTTTGAGTCCATAAATCGCTTTCTAAATTGGACTTATGGACATTTTTGTGTTTTTTTCATAATTTTTGGACTTTGTTTTTGGGTTTGTGTTTGACCCATGTCTCTTTAGGGTTTCTTTTAAAATTCTGCTTCTTATTTAAGTCTTTCTGATGTAATCTGGATGGTCATTGATCAGTTTAATGAACTTTCATTTTTCTCTCAAAATTTCGTGTGTGTTTACCGAATTTTGAAGCCAATCCCACGGTATTCATAGAATCAACGTGGTTTGGGCAAGATTATCCTGGGTATTCTTCTAGAATCAACAGTTTTGATCTTTGGTCATTTGTTCGCTGCATCAAAAACCCTTTTATTATATGATTTTTACAACAAAACATTTTATTTACCCCTTTATGTCTCATATTTTTTCCTTTTGAGAAATGATAATTAATAAATATCTCATTTATCGTTACGGTTACACACTGTCCAGTAAGAGAAGTTTTCAAGAAGGAAAAATATAGTTAGCTTCCTTGATTTCTAATTTTGTTATGCTTTATACTCATCATGTATCTCGTTTCCACTAGTGGTGTAAAGTTCTTATTAAGAACTGGTCATTATATTGTAATGTTGTGTTCTTTATAACTTCTACTTCATATATAAAATCAATGAGAAATATGTCTCTTTATGCATGATCCTCATGAACCTAATTTTCTTGCTCTAAAATGTATAATTCCATACCGTTAGGGGACTTTGTCTCTTGGTCTTCATCTTCGTCCTCAGACACGCCACTCTACTTTTGTAGTTTGTGCCTTTATTGGTGACAATCATGTTTCTTGGTCCTTTAAAAGGCAACACGTCATGTCGAGGTCTAGTGTCGAAACTGTGTACAGGGGTAGCCAATGTTGTTGTTGAAGTTGTCTGACTTCACAATCTTCTTGAGTTGTCATGTCCATTATCTCGTACTACTGTATAATTTTTGTGACAATGTAAGTTTTATGTACCTAACTTCGAACCCAATACATCACCAAATAACCAAACATGTGAAATAGATTTATATTTTGTTAGGGAACGTGTTGCTATTGGTCATGTACACATATTTATACTGCTCACCCATTTGCTGATATTTTTACTAAAGGGTTACCTACATAATTATTTTTGAACTTCCAGGACAATTTAAGCATTTATGAACCTCCTGCTCTAATTGAGGGGCAGTGTTAAACTATTATTTATTGGATAATTTAGGTCTTTTTATCATGATATAATGTAGAGTCCTTTATGTAATTGTACAATATTGGTTGTAACATTTATAGCAAAGGAATACATCAGAAACCTAATAGGGTTATTTTCACAAACCAAGCACACCATTTTTTTATTATGACAACTTCATTGTTATATACTTGAAATCAATTCTTATGCAGTGTTGTATACTTGAAATTAATTCTTGTGCAACATCGACGCATGAAGCACATAAATATTGACATTCACTTTGTTCAGGATTAAGTATCTTTGGGGTTAGTTTGTATTATTCATAACTTGTAATTTATTTCTAAGTAGAATTAATCAATTAAAAGTTTACCAATTATATTTTCTCAAGAGAAAAATACATGTCATAAAAGGGAAGATAATTAATTATTGTACAAAATCATAACATAAAAGGGTTTTATTGTACAACATCAGAAAATAAAATGGTTTTTTTGTATAAAAAAGAAAATAATGGTTTTTCCGAGCATTAGAGGATAATAGGTTAGGTTTTTCTGATGTCACAAATGTTATGTAACCGGCTATCAAGGGTTTTCCGGTTACAAAACATTATTTTAGGCATGATCAACAAATAAAATGGTTTTATCGTACATAAAAATAATATAATGGTTTTTTCGAGCATTGAATGATAATATCACTACAAGAAAATTCATAAATAGCTACAGAAAATTGCTACGGAATCAAAATCCGTAGCTATTCTACTACGGTATATGCTACGAAATGGGTTTCCGTAGCTATTTTGCTACGGAAATGGTTACAATATTTCATTTCATAGCTAAATCCTGAATAGCTATGGAAAGTTGCAAGGTGAGCTCACTTGAGAGTCCATGAAGGTTCCTCTCATCTGTCGGGATAATGTTAATCAAAGGGCCACCTGCATGCCAATTGTCATACCATAGGTTGATGCTAGTTCCATCCCCGGGTATTCGCCATATGTGTTTCCAAATCTTGTCGCGCAAGGAAAGCATGTTAGACCACGAGAAGCCTTCGAGATCCTTGCTTTTAACCTCCCAGAACGTTTGGTTTCTAAGATGGTGGATTTTTACCCAATCAACCCAAAGAGAGTTTTTTGCAGTAAATAGTCTCCAAATTTGACGAGATAAAAGAGCTTCATTCTAAGTCTGCAAATTGCGGATTCCCAATCCTCCTTCATCTTTAGGTCTACACACCATTTTCCAAGCAATCTTAGCACTTCCTTTCTTCAATTCACCTCCACTCCATAGAAAACCCTTAAAGACTTTTTCGATATCTTTAATGGTTGTTTTAGGAATGAGGAGGACCGAAAACCAATAAACTTGGAGGGATTGGAGCACCGAGTTAACGAGTTGTAATCTTCCCGCAAAGGACGAAGCTCTATGCTTCCAATTCTGAATTCGCGCTTTCACTTGCTCCACAAGTTTATTACAGTCCTTGTTAAGCATTCTCGTACCAATCAAAGGAATACTGAGATATCGAACAGGGAGTTTTTCTTCCTCAAAACCCATAATATTCGAAATTTGGGTTTTTAAAGCATCATTGATCTTGCCATAAAAAATCGAACTTTGTTGAGGATTACGAATCAAACCCGACACTGCATGGAACTCTTGTAAAGCGTCTTTGATCACCTGGACAGCTTGAATACTCCCATGGCTGAAAATTAAAAGATCATCTGCAAAACAAAGATGTGTTAGCTTTTGTTTCCCGCACCTCCAATGATATTTGTGTTTTGGGTTCTGTTGTATGCGCCTTTTGATCATAAGGTTAAAAACCTCCATGATTAAAGTGAAGAGATAAGGCGACATTGGATCACCCTGTCTAAGCCCCCTTTGCCCCATGAAATACCCTTTATTTTCTCCATTAATGCTTATGGAGAAAGAGGTGGTCGAGACGCACTTTATTATCCATTGGATCATTCTATGGTGGAAACCGAAACCCCATAGAATTTGTTCCAAAAAACTCCAGTTTACAGTATCATACGCTTTTTGGATGTCGACTTTAAGAGCACATCTGGGGCTTCCATGTTTACAAGTGTATCCTCGCATCAATTCCTGTGAAAGAAGGATGTTATCAGTAATAGCTCTACCCGGAATGAAGGCGGATTGGTTCACATCAACCAAATTGTGAAGAAAAGGGGATATTCTGGTCACTATGATCTTTGTGATGCATTTGTATATGACATTGCAACAAGATATGGGGTGAAAATCCTTCATGGTATTGGGGACTTCCACCTTTGGGAGGAGGGCTAAGATCGTATGATTAACAGCTTGTAAAAGCTGACCATTCAGAAAGAATTCTTTGACTGCTTTGCACACTTCTTTCCCCACTATATGCCATGTCTTTTTAATAAAACGTAGAAGTGTACCCATCTGGTCCTGGTGCTTTGTCATTCCCAATGTCAAACATGGCTTGTTTGATTTCTTCATCATCAATTGGTCTAACCATCCAACTAGCATCCTCATTCGTTAGAGTATTGCTGAAAAGGTCGTTAGGGGAGATTATAGGATCAACATCTCTAGCTTTCCCAAGGAAATCAGAGAAATGAGCAATAGCAATATCAGCGACCTTATCAGCCCCATGCATCACACCATCACCATCAATAATAGAATTGATTTTATTTCGACTTTGTCTCTCTTTAATGACTTTATGGTAATATTTGGTATTCCAGTCTCCTTATTTAAGCCAATTAAGTTTCGCTTTTTGTCTTAGGAGGCATTCTTCTTCACATAAGGCTTTGGTGAAGTCTTCCAGATACTTTGCATGCTCAACACTAACCTCTTCATTATCGGGGTCTCTATCTAAATGTTCTTGGGCTCTTTCAAGTTCGACTCTCAGTGCTTCCACCTTGTGATAAGGGTTTCCCATTTGTTGACCAAGCTTACGTATGGGGGGTTTGAGTTTCTTTAGTTTTTGAAAAACCGAATACATGGAGTGACCTTTAACCCTATTTCCCCATATTGATTGCACCGTATCGTGAAACTGAGGATGATTGGTAATATTATTAACAAACTTGAAATCATAAGACTTTTTCGGTTTGCCAATTGGGAAGTTTATAAGGGCAGGGGAGTGGTCTGAAATGCCATACGAATTGTACATAACATGAAGTTTGGGAAACATAGATAAGATGTTGGTGTTACCCATAGTCCTATCTAGTTTCCTAAGAAGCCCACCAATCCCACGAGGTTTCTGGTTCCAAGTATAATATAGGCCTGTGGCATTTATATCGACAATATTAGTATCATTGATGCATCTCTGAAAATTAGTCATAAAGCTATCAAAGGAGCTTGATCTAGTAGATTCACTCGGCTTAAGAACTTGGTTAAAATCACCTGCAATTAACCAAGGTTCATATTTGACTAGGGAGTGATGAATCCGCAGGTAGTCCCAAAGTTTTCTTCTATCACGATAGTCATTATCAGCATAAACAAAGGACATGAAAAAAGTGTGGTTAGAGTTTTTAGAGTGAACTCTACAGTGCACGACTTGGTCAAAACTATGAATAACAAAAAAATCCCAAGCCCCTGGATCCCAACCAATATCAATTCTAGTACCTCTACTACACAAGCTAGCATTAGAGTACCATTGCCAATTACCTTTTATACCCTTGCAAACTTTATTTATACGAGAAATATGCATTCTTGTTTCCAAGAGAGCACAAAGCGAAACCCCATTTCTATCCAACATCGACACAACTTCTTTTTGAGTAGAGGAGTTGCATAATCCTCTAACATTCCAAACCATTGATCTCATGATTGGGAAACTGGGATGGTTTTGGCAACATTCTCCATGGTTGCCCCATGATTTACCTTTTTTGTGTGTTCCACTATACTTTCTCCCAGATGGTGTTTAGACGCACCCGACCCTTGATTCTCATCATCATCATCATCATCAGCAACAAGGGAATTGAATCGGTTGTGAGTATGGATTATATCAATCATGTTACTATCCTTTTTAGCGTCTTCAGGTTCCACTTCATCTTTACTGAATTCGGTATTCATTTCTTCCTCATATGACTCATTATTTACGACTTTGAACCCATTGGTGCCCTCTTCTGTAGCTACTAACTTCTCTTTATGTAGGACTGGAACTTTTTCCTTATCAGCACTATTCACAAGATTGGAGGCTATGTGTTGGATATCATTATCTTTGGTTGTTGGCTTTTGTTGGGTGTTTGGTTTAGGTTTAGGATGGGTGTTCACAGATTTTGTGGGCCTCTACTTCTTCCTCTGGTTCTTTCCATGTTTCTTTTTCTTTTTGTGACAATAGTGAAACCTTCCGTGTCAGCACTAGCACCGAAGATGGGATGGGGAATGTTTTCTTTGGCAGTAGTAACAACAGGAGTCTCCATGATTTGTAGTGGGCATGTGCTTTTGGAATGGTCATAAACTTTTCATTTGTCGCATCTTGTTGGAACCCACGAGTATTCTAATTGTAGTGAATGTTTGACACCATTTTTGGTAGTCAAGTCCCAAGTTTGAACTTCTATGTATTCCTCCCATGGTTTGTTGGCTGATATTTCAATTAGAACCCTCGCATAAGCACATCTCCCCTTGCCCTCAACACACATATCTTCCATGTATGTATCCATGTCTAGGGGGATTCCAATCCTGCTAGCAATTCTCCCAATACCCTCCACACTCCATGCTTCCAGGGGGATGTCATAGATTTTTACCCATACAGGAACTTTGTCATGTTTAGCTTTTGTTAGACAGGCACCCGGTTGCCATCTTTGAATGAACAGTGGGACTTCCTTGATCATCCAGTGATCACTTTGTAGCACATTCATCATTCCTTGCTCAGTGCTAAATTTGAATAAGTAGAACCCCTTTCCATTCCTTTTTATATCAGTGATACCACATGATGCCCATTTATTTTTTACATATTCACACACTGTAATAAAAGAGGGATTTGCACCTATAAAGTAACCAAATAATGTGTTTGCATGTTTTTCATTTGCTTGTTCAAATAATTGGATCGGAATAACCACTGGCAATTAGCAATTCCAGTAGAGATTGGAGGGAAGTACTGAAGTTTAGCTTTTGATCTTCGAGATGCAAGGGAAGTAACATTAGCATAAGATCGATAGGGTCATTCTGGTTTGGTGTGAAGGTCTGGCTGAATTGGTTGTTTGGAAGTGAAGCATTGTCAATAGTGATGGTGGGGTTAACGTCATTACAGGTTGGTTTTGTATGGGTGTTTTGTGCATGGTTATTAGGGTTATTGGGTTTAGCATGGGGTTCTAGATCCTTGCTGATCCCACTGTACATCAGATTACCTGTGTTCAGTGAGTTTAAATAATCCAACTCAAACCAAGTTCCAGCAGATGCTTCAGTATCATTCATGACTGGAGGTTGGGTAATGTTCAACGAAGAATTAAGATTAGGTTTGGCCATAGTGGGGATTTGTGTTACCTGTTGTTCTGGAGAAAGAGGTGTGTCTATTGAATCAGTTTCGTTATCGGCTAGTATGATTGGATCAGTTTTCTTGAGCAACCCTCTTGAGTCAAGTTTCTCCATCAAAGAAGGGGAGATGTTGTTAGTTCCTTGATTTCCAGTGTTGCGGTACATCTTGGCAGATACAGCAGGTCGTTGGTCTCGTGCATGTGGGCTTGTCGAGCGTCGTTTACGTTGCATCATTGCAGGCTTTGGTATTGTTGACGTTGATTGTATATTGGGATCCGGAGGTTTCCTTGGAAGTAGAGCTTTCCTTGATGGTGTGTCAGCCGGCATCGGATTATCAGTGGGGGACGCAAGAGTGGTCGGAAAACGGGGAAAACGGGGAACAGGATTGTCGTCGTCGGCAGAGAGAGAACTAGGATTGTCGTCGGCGGCATCGGATTATCAGTGTGAGTGTATATTGTTTCTATGCTATTTGTTGATAATTTTTTAGGCTGATTTTAAAATTTTTGATGATGAAAAAACAGGTATGTCCATGCATAACTACATGGAGCTTCTAGTATTGTGATTAAATATCACAAACCTGATAACCCTGTACAGAAGGTTACATTAAAATGTGAACTTTTGTATGCTTTGACATTTTTAGTTCTTAAGTGGATAAATTGATGATTTATTGGTGTAATGTTCAGTGCTCTTGGTGGAAGTCATGGTGTAACACGTGTACATTTTAAGTTCAATTTTTGTACAATGTCCACTCTTAATGGATGCTAGCTAACATTTATAATTTTTTTGAAGGTCATGGACATGCTTGGACCTAGCTTATGGGATGTCTGGAATGACAACTCGCACATGTAATTTCCCATTTCACTATTCCTCTAGAATGCATTGAATAAACTACATTTTTGGTCCCTGCACTTAGTAGTTCTCTTTAGTTTTGATTCAGGAATGAGTCTTGTTATATTTTTTGGTCCAAATTTTCATGTTTAATTCTGTTTTGGTGCATTAAACCCATACACTTAAACTCATAGTATGAATCGAGAGGGACCAAAACTGAATCAAACTTGAAAGTTAGGACCAGAAGTTATAAAAAGATTATTTTTGGACCAAAACTAAAGAAAATTACATAGCACAAGGACCAAAAATGTAGTCTACTTGAATATATTCTTAACCATTAACCAGTTACAGTCTTTTGATGCCTTATTTAACCTTTTCATGTTTTTTAGGATGTCGACTAAAATGGTTGCATGCATTGCCATTGAAGCCTCTTACACTAAATCAAGCAGGATCTTTCACAATAAGTTTGTAACAACTAACAAGCTATTAAATTTTGTATTTTGCATGTTCTTAAGAGGGTATTTTGGGAATTATGATGTAGGTCTGCCATAGTCAAACATGGAACTCAAAGATTGTTACTAGTGCATGGTGGGTATACCCTCATCAGGTAAGCAAAACAACTCCTAATCAAGGCATTTGGCATTCTATTCCGGTTTGATGAAACCTCACTGGGGTCTCATCTGAATGAAAGAAGAGTAAATGGTGAAGAGGATGGAAAAAATAGGGGCTTCAAGCTTTAGAAATGGAGTCTGAAAATAATAATGAAGAAGAGAAGAAAGGAACAGTGAGGAAAAAAGCGTATGTTTCAAAAACTGAAAGAAGAAAGCGGACGAAAGGTTAAACTCATAATGAAGGTGCAGATGGTGGTCACGTAAAAAAAGAAGTGGAAAAGAAAAAGGAAATTGTAAATCATCCACTAAAAGAGAATTGATCATAGTGTAAATAGTGGTGGGAAAATGAGCCAAGGGCAAAACGGTAAACCTAAAAAGATGAAAGAAAAATACACTGATCAGGATGAAGAAGAAAGAAAAATCAATATGGCTTTACTTGCGGTAAGTATTTTATGATTTAATTATCTAATAATTTAATAAAACTTTATAAAAGTCTTAAAATAATGATTTCATTTTACCATAAAAAAACACTGCCGTCTACTGGAAAAGCTAAAGTGAATGAACAAGAGGCACAAACCGAAAGGATAACTACATCTACAAGCAAAGAGTTGAAACCTTTAGAAAGTAATAATCCATCGGCACAAATTACCAAAATACCCATCTTATGCTATCTAATTATATGGGTGTTTGTTTGAATGGTTGCAACAGGGAATGAAGATGCTCCAAAAAGATGTTACAAGTTTAAAAAGGGACACCTGGCTAAAGACTGCAAGGAGCATTCCGATGGAGTTGGAAATGGTAGGAATGGAGAAAATGAGACACTTAGTGAAGCTGAGAAAATTGCAATGGAAGAAGATGATATAAAGGAGATTGGTGAAAGTGCAATGCTTTTATTAATCAATGATACAATATTATGTATCATATAACGTTTTATGTTTAATTTGTATTTTGATTTTGAAATATTTATCTTTTGATGTATTGGATATTTCTTTTGGTTTCTATAGAAATACCCATACCTTTGGTTTTATATTAATTGTATTTTTATAAATTGATATAAATAGTTGAATTGAATAACCGAATGTTACTAAATAATGGTATGGAAATATTGCTACGGAATTTGTTACAGAAAAATCGCTATGGAATTGGTTACGGAAAAATTGCTATGGAATTTGCTACGGAAAAATTGCTACAAAATTTGCTACGGAAAAATCGCTATGGAATTTGCTACAAAAAATTCGCTATGGAATTAGTTACGGAAAAATCGCTATGGAATTGGCTACGGAAAAATCGCTATGGAATTGGTTACGGAAAAATTGCTACGGAATTTACTACAGAAACATTGCTACAAAATTTGCTACGAAAATGCTATGGAACTGAAATTGCTACGAAATAGATGTCATAGAAAACCGCCATAGTAAAATTGCTACGAAATTATAATTCCGTAGCTAGACATTTTGCTACAAGAAATAAAGCTACGAAGTCTAATTGAAAAATTACGTAACAAATTCCGTAGTTATTTAGCTTTAGCTACAGAATTTTAGCTTTTTACAACGGAAGTTTTCCGTAGCTAAATTCAAAATTTCTTGTAGTGTATGTTGGGTTTTTCTAAGATTTTCCCAAACTACAAACTAGCCTGACCGTGTGTATAAATTCCAGCATTTGTATTTTTTTTTCTTCATAAACATCTTTTGTGACATCGATCCCAAACCCATTTTCATCAAATTCAAATTAGTATTTATCGAAGTCTATAATCAACGAAATCAAAAACTAAAATCACTGTTTATTAGTGCTCGTGAACAAAGTAAAAAGCAAATATATATATATATATATATATATATATATATATATATATATATATATATATATAATTTAAACAAATTAAAGAAATCATATTGAAATAATTATATTTTAAAACAAAGTAAAAAACAACTAAAATATAAACAAAATAACAAATTTAAAATTTAAACAATAAAATAGTTAAATAAATATTCATAACGACGACACGTCAACATCACATGGAAATAAGTAAACAAATTTTGTTATATGGGGTGTTACATTGCACCACCTAGGATTTAATTCGGTTTACTCGATTGAAATCCATTCAAATAAGGGTGAACTTGGTGTTGGACTGAAACTACTAAGAACTGAAATGTCATATGTGAAGGTATCAAATCCTGAACCGAATATGTAGGTACCAAATCCTGAACCGAATAGAACATATTGGTACTATTACCGGTACTTCAGTACCATTACCCTCTAGTACCGGATTTATTAGAGTCCCAATGACAATGTTCGCGGCTTTTTATTTCATCCAGTTCGGTTGATTCTCGAACATAATGTGTCGTCAAAACAATAAAGAGTATGTAGGAAAAAAAATTAACTCATTCGAATTCTGATGAAAGATTTATGGTTTGTAACATCCATAAAAATCATGAAAATTTTAAACTTTTAAAAACCAACCCAAAATCACAAATTGTTTACAACATAGTTTTCAAAACATGTTCTATATCAGAGTTTCCCAAAATCATAAGTCCAAAACATGAGGATGTGTACGGTCACGCCTTCGCCTTCTCGCGATCCTCTGAAGTACCTGAAACATAACCCAAAACTGTAAGCCAACGCTTAGTGAGTTCTCCAAAGTACCAACACAACACATAATCATAATAACAACAACAAACAACATGCATACAGAGCCTTCAGTCTGACTGGAACGCCCCACCAACCTACAGTCTATCTGGTACGCTCATCGGACCTTCAGCCTATCTGGAACGTTCTCCGGGCCTTCGGCCTGATTGGTACGCCTCTCGGGCCTACAGTCTATCTGGGACAACTTGGGTCTCTCGACCTTCAGCACATAGCAGGACCGCCTCAACCCAACATACCGTCACATATCAACATATACCATATCAAACCCTAGCTAGCATATATAGAGTCATACAGATCTACAGATCACTAAGCATAGCATCATCCTATATACCATGATACAAATCTAACATATCACTACATCATACAATCATGCGATAAACCAGGATAACAATCCAAAGGGCCCGACCTTGGTGCCTTCAACCCCAAAATACAGTGAGGAAAACTCACCTCGAAAACTGAACATAACTAATGAGGTATGACTTCGAATCTCAACTCTCTAACCGATAATTATTTCCACCAAGTGACCAATTCAATCAAAATCCCAAAATACCCTCAAGGTCAAACTTGGTCAAAGTCAAAGTCAACTGGTTAAACCCACTGAGTCAACCCAATCGAGTCAACTCAACATTGTTGACCCAGAACAACTACGCAGGGCGTACTCCGGAGGTATGCATGGCGTACGCGAAGCCTCGTAGTTGACCACCATCGGGGTGATTGACCGAGTATGCGGGGTGTACTCCCATATACGTGGGGCGTACTCCCATGTTAGACTTTGTTCATGTTCTTCATCTGGTGCAAAGAAGAGGACTTGGGAATCCTCTCATACCTCACTAAAGTCAAAAAAAGTCAAAGGAGGTCATATGATTGTATGTCAATCAGAAAGCGGTTGTGTGTCAAGAAATAACAAAGGAACTAATAATCATAATTCCTATAAAATCATGCTGATGAACATTGCAGACCATGCTAAAAAATCAAATCTTACAAAGGTAAAGTATTTTAGTTTAATCTCTTAAATTTTCTCTTCGATTCTTTCTTTAATTTTTATAAAAATAGCAGATAATTGAGGATCTTGGTGGCTCTGTTACATCTGATGGAAGAGTAAGCACACATGTAATCACTGGAAAAGTCAGAAAAATTTTAAATTTTTGTACAGCTTTTTGCTCAGGATGAGTTTTATTTAATTTTAAGTTTCAAGATAATTTTTTTCCAAAATTATTATTTATTACTTCAAGTTTTAATTTGGAAGTGTAATCATGTATACAGAGCTTGGGTGATATCACATGCTTGGCTAAAAGAAAGCTTCAGAGAAGGCAGATTTGTAGGTGAGTTACGAGGCTTTAACAATTTCAGTCTAGAAAAAAATTGCAAAACGGTCATTTTTATTAAATATTTTACAGATAAAATGGATTACATTGTGAAAGATGTTGAATATGAGTTGAAGTATCGAACATACTTAAGGAATACAATAGTTAAAGCAAGAGCAAATCCCGGAGGCTTGCTTAAAGGATTTGAAGTATGCCTTGCAACTCATGTGCAACCTCCTGTGAGTACTATGTCAGCTATTGTGAGGTCTGCAGGTGGAAATGTAAGTCGAATACTTCCTTTTTATTAAAAAGAAAAAAATTGAATGAGTTAAATATATATTTTTTATTTAAAAAAATTTAGGTGATTAGGAGTGTTGAAAAAGCAAAGGATTCAAGGAAAACGATGTCAGCTGTGAAGAAAGGGATTGCTACTTTTAGTAACGAGTGGTTTATGAATTGTGTCATGAAATAGGAGCTAGACTTAGAGGCTCCTAAATTTGCTGAATCCCTTTAAACTTTAAGTTAAGTTTTGAAGAATTATGGTAAGAATTGACATGCCCACTTGTGTAAAAATTTATACTCTTTTTGTTGCACGTTCTTGTTTGCTGCAATCAATACCATGAAACCTTATTGGATGAGAATAGAGTCTTAATTTGGATCAACCACAAAAATGCAAGACATTTTTATTATTTTATCAACTTATGTGACATATTTTAACTATGTAATATAACAAACTATTATTTTAACTATGTAATATAAGAAACTATTATTTACACATTTTGCGTATAATATAAGCATTTGAATGGAATAAACTTAACTTTTTCAATATTTTATGTAGAATGCTAAATTGTGACGGTATGTTGCCTTTTTAGGTTATGTTTAACAAACTATTTGAAAAAACTAATTTCTAGTTGAAAAACTTAGCTAATAATTGAAAAAATAGATGCTAGTTAATAAAAGATGTTGTTTGACAAAATAAGTTTAACTAAAAATGTAAAATTTCATAAAGTCATGTAGAAGAGTTAATGAGTATTATAAGAGAAAATACAAAATATATTTAATTAAATTAAAATTAGTATACCACTAGGACATGCAGAAAGATGTATACCACTTACCACATGGATCAAAACTGTAATTATAAAGTTATTATGAGCATGTTTGGCACGAAACTTTTGGAAGCGTTTGGGAGCTTCTAACTTTTAGTTTTTGATAAAACGCTCTAGTTTAAACAAAAAACTTCGTTTGGCAGTACGAGCGTTTATCTTTTAGTTTTAACAAAACACTCCGATTCTAAAAGCTACTTCATGTAGCGTTTAACAAAAACGCTCCTGAGATTTTGAAATCAATTTCCATAATTACCCTTAAAAATATATTTATATATTTATTTATTTTTAATCAATTGTCCTTTTATGTAATTTTATATATTTCAAAAGTTTTCAGCTAGTTTTGCCAAACATTCATATAACAAATAAAAGCTACAGCTTCCCGCTACCAGCTACCTGCTACACGCTACCAGCTACCCGCTACTCGCTTCCAGCTAACAACTACTTTTGCCAAACACGCCCTATATTTGGATATTAGTTTTTGCGGAATAAATTTACACTTACCAATGTTAGTTTAACGATCAAATCCATGATGAAACCCACAAATAAGGATGATTTTTGCAAATCAAATTTTTTTGGACCTAATCTAAAGGAAAATGCAAACCACAGGAGCATTTTTGCAATTTTGATTTTGTTTACCTTGTATCATGTCACGAGTCGCGAGTTTACCTTTTCCTACAGTATTTACCGGCTTTAATATCTTTGAAAGAAAGTAAAAGTTGGTATTCAATTATCCAAAACCCTTCGGGGTTCGATGTTGGAAGAAGTTCAATTTTGTACCCAAAAAATGGCGGCTGAAACTGCGGCTGCTTCACATTTCCACCGTTATTGCGGTTGGAGTCGAAGGAGATACACCACCGGAATAAACATTCGACGATGTCTGCTAACTCCAGCTACTGCTTCCTTGTCTTCTTCTTCTCAACCCATGGATATTCACACCAGCAAATCCTACAAACAGCTCGGTTTGCCTTCTTCTATCTACTTATTCCCCTCCAAACTAACAACCCTGTATTTTTCTACTTCCGATGACTTGAGTCTTAACTCTTTCGGGGTTGAAAATTGATATTGGTTTTGAATTTCTAGGGAAGAACATACCAAATTGATATAATTCTGATAACCAGTGTCTAATTTGCAGCCAATTCATTTATATTTTGCAATTGCAAAATAATGATTCAGGAGTTTAAATGTGGCGTTCGTATTTGGGAAGTAAACTCTGCTATGTTGACTTTATTTCGTATCTTTCAGCTTACCCTTCTTTGTAGTGCTCTGTTCGTCGGTTGTTGCAGAGAGTAATTGTAAATGAACGCCATGTTATTTTACAGCTCATTTTTCTTCTTTCGAAAATGCATCTTTTCCTCTTTAACTCAAGAACCTACTAAAGAAAAATGGTACCCTTTGAGATTTTAGGTTGGATTTATGTTTATATTTACGAATTTAACACCAAGAACATTCTAACTGTAGCATTTGTTAGGAAATTTCAATGTGTTCATAAATATTTATGAGTTGGTTGCTAAACTGCAAATCCTATATACCTTCACTATCAAATTTTTATGGATGTATATGGTTGGTTTGTGGTTTGTGTAGGTATGTTCTCATTGAGAAAGAAGATAGAAGATTCAGTTAATCGTGCTGAATTGTTAGGTCTAACTGCATTGGAATTTGAAGAAGCACGCCAAATCAAACAAGAAGAAATGATTCGTGAGTATGATTTATGGGATGACTTAGCCAAAACCAGTGATATCCTTATTAAGTTAGCTGATAGTGCTAAAGTGGTTGATGCTCTCAAAGACCTCACATACAAAGTAATCTTCTAAAACAAGGGTATCCCAGTAATTTAATCTTATCCACATCTTGTAATTTATAAGATTATATTGTGAATTGTGGTTTATTTAGGTTGAAGAAGCGAAGCTAATAACAGAGTTGGCTGAGATGGACATTATAAATTATGCACTTCTTAAACAAGCGTATACAACATCTGTAGATGTGAGCAAGTTCTTGGATAAATATGAAATGTCCAAACTTCTTAAAGGGCAATATGAATTTGAGGGAGCCTGTATTATAATAGAAGCAGGATCTGAAGGCATCCGATCCGAGGTTCATCAATCATATTTCAAGCAAGATGTATTTGTGTTCATTTTCACAAAAAGTTATGAAACTAATTTCTGAAAATTTTGAAACAGATATGGGCAGAACAACTGGTTGGAATGTATATGAAATGGGCTAAAAAGCAAGGTTTAAAGGGAAGGATAATTGAGAAGAAATGCATGTCAAAAGGAGGGGGTATCAAGTCTACAATTATTGAGTTTGAATACAAGTATGCTTATGGTTACTTTTTAGGGGAAAAGGGTACTCATCGAATGATAACCTCTCACCCTGAATCCTTATCTGAGGTGGTATATATTATATATTTCATCAAAAGATAGAATTTTTTTTATTAGTTGTCTAATTTATTTACCTTTTTGTACTTTGCAGGTTAGCTCAGCTGCCATTGATGTGGTACCTCTGTTTCTTGAAGAAACTCCTGAATTGATTGTTGATGAGAAAGATTTGAAGATCAGCTATTTATCATTATGTGAAGATGATGAAGGTCGAAAAAGGCGTATGGTTCAAATTCAACATTCTCCAACTGGCTTGACTGTCCATTCATCAGGTAGCTAATGCTAATCTATGATTTTGAAATCTCAAAATTAAATGGAATCACAAATAAAAGCAATAGTTTTTCTTACCTTCTTTACATTCGTTCTTTCAGAGTTAAGGTATTGTTTCTTTTTGACTTAATGGGTTAAGCTAAAAATCTTGGCTTAATGTATTAAGACACTAACCGTTCTTTTTTCCCCCTAGCTCCTCTCATGTTAAAATTGATGAATATTGTGAAGTTTGTTTTTGGAAATGTATGGATAAAATGGTGTTATTTTGTCTCATTCAGGGTCTAGAAAAGAAACAAACTTTTCTTTCTGTATACAACACTTTATCCAGACAGTCAGTTTACCCATGCTAGACAGCCAGACTTAATGAGAAATATTGGATATGTTTTATGTTGTAGGGGAAAGGAACGATTTTTCCAACAAGATGAAGGCTCTTAATAGGTTAAAGGCGAAACTCCTAGTAATATTGAAAGACGAAGAAGTAAAAAGTATAAATGAAATCAAGAAAGATGGTGTTATGGACATGTGGGATCAAGAAACACGAAGGTATGTGTTTAGGCCATACAAGCTTGTTCAAGATGTAAAAACGGGTATTCAATTGGCGGATCCCAATTTTGTTTTAAATGGTAATCTGGATGCTTTTATTAGTGCTCATATAAACAATAGATTTGTATGCCATATGGGATGAAAGTAGGCATAGGCTGTTTGCTAAAGGAGTAGAGTGTATGATATTTATGTGCAAGTGTAGGCATATGTTTGTGATGACCATCTATCTCATATGTGAAGATGTCGATATGTAATTTGTCACGGATTTTGTTATGAAAAGAAAAATGATCAGTATGTAGTGATGCATTTTGTGTAATGGTAACATCAACTCCTCTATCTTTTTCCTTCTTCTTGTAGATGCCTTCTTCATCAAAGTTAATCAGGGTGAATTATTGTTCCTATTTTAATCTTCTTCACGGGTCTATCAGTCAAAGAAGGTTTTCATCTTCTTATAATCTTGCGCAAGAAACACGATCAACAACTGTTGTTCTCTTATTATCCTAACTTGTAAAATCTAAGGCATGCTTTGAGTAGTTCCAAGTCCAAAGTATTAACATTTGAAAGAAAATTATATTAATTTAAGTGAAATGTAGATATTTGTTATTAAACCAAAAACCGAACCTTATTTGGTTATGTTTCGGTGGTTATTTTCCTTCCTCCTCCTTTTGATGATGAATCCCCTTTTATTCGATTCTTCTTGGAGTCGGACCAAAGTTGTAAGTTGTTGAATCAGCAACGAATTGGTTTTGGATTGAACGTATCTCATTTCGCATTCTAAATCTTCTATTCTATTTGGTGGATCACGGCTATGATACCAACAAGATAGAAGAATCAGGGAATTTAACAGTTTGTGATCTATTACTACTATGATTTACCACTCTCGAGAGGTAATATCTATCCAATCAATCGAATACAATTCAATCATGTATCTCTCGACCTATCACTAATATACTATCTTTTACCCATAATAACAAAGTATTTACATTTCTTTACTCGTAATATAACTTTTGTTGCTATTATAATAGGTAAAAGATAAATTATATCGTCGTGAATAATAAATAAACAAAAAAAAACCCTTTTAACCAAAAACATAACCATTTTGAAAAAAAAAAAACCGAAAGCTCCGTATTTGGGTTTTGTGTTATTTGCAGAAAGAGGATTAGACTTCGAGTTAGACCATGCATGAGAAAATGAAAACTATCACGCATTTGGGTCATCGTACAAGAATAAGGAAGGCTGGATTCTAGATTTTGCTTTGTGTGAGAAATTTGGATTTGCTCATGATAAGTGATTCTAAAAGAAGGACGAGTTCAATAGTCAATAAGACATTAGCTCAATTTTCATAATCAACAATTCAAAAGCTCAAAGGCTAGATAAATGATCCAAATAATCAATAGTTAATCCAGTTCAATGTCAATTTTAAAAGAGAAAGTAATGCAATACATATGCAACTACTCCCAATTCCTAAGTTGTTCTCAAGTCCAATATCTTATAATGGTTATATTCGGGCTCATACACGTAGCCAACTCTACTTAATACATTTTCAATGCATGTTCATATTTCAAAGATAGGTGACATGTGAACCATCACACAAACACCATACAAGGGGTAGCTAACCACCTTGTGCAAGTGAGGCTTATCAAGAAAGCATACTCGCTCATTGTTAAATTTATCCCAAAGTGAATATCTATTAGTGTCTCAAATCACAACTCATCCTATGTGAATGCAAAAGCAAAATCATGGACTTATGGAGCATAATCAATTTTGAATAAGTAAATAGCCCTTGATTCTATAAATAGTTTGAAATTTATGAGTAAATGTTGAATAAGCAAAATCGTGGCCTTATGGAGCATAATCAATTTCGTTAATATTTATAATGATTGATAATCAATTTCGGCAATATATTTTTAAAATAGATGGTAACAGGAAAATTGGTTATTGGTACTTCGAATAGAAAATGTGGTACTTTTAAGAGGAGTGATTTAACAAATTTGTTCGATTGTTGCGGAAATTTATCATGCTTGGTGCATGTTAGGCCGTTAGGTATGTGTATGTGCATCAAGAAAATGATGCTTTTTTTTGGGTAGATGGGAGGTTGGATTAAATTTTATAAATAGTTTTTTCAACACAATAATTTTTATTTTAACTTGTAATATGTATGCAATATTATTTAACTTGTAACAATTTTTATTCTAACTTGTAATATGTGTTTAATTGATAACCATTTTTTTTAAAATATTTTGCTAGTTCTATTTGACAACATTTACCGAAAGTCCAAACTTTAAATTCTCATTTTACCTTTTTTAAAGATTACATGGAAAGATTATCCTCATTTGAAAATTAATTTTAAAATTCATTGATTTTGAAATACATATGAAAACCAATTTTTTTTTTCTTTTTTTTTTTGAACCGGCACCGGTTAACCGGTTATTTCGATTTATATTCAAGTTAACCTTGAATATCCTTAGACATAGCCATGGACATAATCAAAGTTTGAGAAAAAGTCATTTAACTTTAAATATGTTAAAAGAAGACAATCTAAAAAATAATTACTAATGTCATTTACTTGGTAGTCAAAAGACATTAAAATTAAAACTTATGTTGTCAAGAATCAAACTGTTCTATGCATAGTCTCAACACCAAATGACCTTTTTACCCTTATCTTTCCCAAAACAAATTTTGCAATATTCATCAATTTTAATCTTAGAGGAGAGGAAAAAGAAGGGAAAAAACATTAATGTCTTGATATATTAAGTCAGGTTTTTGGCTTAACCTGTTAAGTCATTCCATCCAGATTAATTAAGCAAGAAACAACCATGTATTTTTTTGTTAATAATAAGTACTTAACCCAAAATGAAACCAAGACTAAATGAAATTAGATTAATTTTTTCTCAAAGTTGTTGATCAAACAAACGCTTCCAAAATAAATAACAATACAGGGCTAATAATCATAAATTATAACAATAACAATAACAATAAGGAAGTAGTTTTAACTATCGCGTTTTGGTCTTTTTGTGTTCTTGTGTGTTGTCTACAGCAGCACATATCTTCTTCCACGATCGGATGACAATCAGTGAAGGTATCCACACCCAAAATGAATTTGCAAAGATGTAATAAGAATAGTAATAAAACGGACTTGCAGCAAAGTTATCACCTTCTAAGTATGAAGTTACAAAATAGACAGCTGTCCCATACAGTTGTCCAAGAGCAATAGCTATTTGAAGAATATGACTATATGACTTTCTTGTTGCTATAGCATACCTGTTCAACATTCACCAAATTAACAAGAATCGCAGATACTATTAATTAAACAAAATGATGATGAAAAAGTAGACATACGCAGCTAGAATGCAAGCTGGACCCTCAAGAACAGCTGTGATTCCTTCAATGGCAACTACAGCTGAATCTCTTCCAACGTATCTGGAGTCACCTTTGCTGTATTCTTTCCCTGTCATATCATATTAAACAAGAAGTATTTTAATTTGTTAATTATAACAATTTTTGATGCAGAAAGTGTAGCAAGAACATACAAACTTCTGCAAGGTAAGTGGGAGATGTCTGCTTGAAAAATTCTGGAGTGAAAACAAAGTAACCCTCGAGGATCATGTGGGTGAGCCCAGTGAAAACCCACCAGCACATTAGAACTTTGTCAAGTTTTGTTATTCTACGAAATCGCCCTGTTCATCACATTCAAACAAAACTTGCATCAGAGCTTTTAGGTTAAAGAAAACCCTGTGTGTATGAGAGAGAAGTCATGATTCATTGAGATGATGAAACTTTTTAGGTTAAAGCAGATCCTGGTAATGGATATGCCAATCAACAAAAATGCACTGTGAATGGAAGTAGTTAAAACTAAAACGATTATCCAATGGTCGGAGTACTCTTTCTGATTCGATTGGTATATTATTAAATGTGTATGTCATAGATCCAGATTAATGCGATTCACCATTAAATTTAAGCTGCTAACACGTTCTGTATTCCCAAAACAAAATCTCCATTACTGACCGGATGCCAAACAGATCACCTATCGACTTCAAAAGTTTTCTGGATCTTAAACTTAAAATAAAACGATATGTGCGCATGATTTATCAGATATAAAACGAAAAAACGACAGAGTACAAATGAATGACCAGAGGATACGCGATAATTGTGTGTGAATACAGAAAACTGTTGGTGAATTCAGAAATGCAGTATAAGTAACAGATTAAGTAGTGATTTAAAGTGAAACTATCAGAATTTAGATGAGTACCGGCGAGGATCCAGACGAAGGAGACGACAAGGAGGGAAGCGCAGCCATAAACACTGAGAATTGTAGATTGAGAGAGTATAATCGGCACATAATCCTGCAGAATGAGATCTGCAGGTATGAAAGGGTGAATCGATTCCGATGCGTCAACTCCGGCCATCCTTCCACAGTGGAAACTGAAAGCAGTTTTTCAGCACAGGTCAACTTCCTCGAGGCCAAAGCACTCCAATTTAGACGGCGTGTTCTTGTGTTATCGGTTGATGAACTTACAAAATAGTCCCTCAACTATAGTCTTTTTATTATTAACAGCATCCTCAACGGTTTTGAGGTCCCCAACTAGGTTGCATGTTTATAGATAAATCGTACATATATCTTTAACATATCATTTTTATATCAAATATAATAAAAAGATAACTTTTTTATTCTTTTATTTATCCTTTTAACAAGACATAATTAATATTTACTTTTTGTAAACTAAAAGTAATATTTATGATAAATTGTTTTTGTCAAAGTAAATTCAGTATTGGTCTAAGTTTGATCATAACGACAAAAATCTTTTTAATAATATAATATAATTCATTTTATTTTATTATTATGTATTTTTAATAATTTGATTATTTGAGTTATTAATATGTATAAAATAAAAAGGGAGAGAAATAAAAGTTTTAGTCAAACAAATTCTAGGCATCTAGCTTTTTAAATGCATCAAGGCTTCGTGGTTATGAAGCGGTCCATGCCATCTAAAGCATGGGTCAATCCAAGATTGTCAAGATCGGGATCCTACGTAAGATCGTTTTTGGGTTTACAAGATCGGATCGTAAGATCGGGATCGGGATTCTAAGATCCACAAAATAAAATATAATTTTAACTTATAATTTTTAATCATGAAAAATATTTCAAACATTTAATTTTTCGTTCAAAAGTTATAAAAACTTCAAAATATTAGTCATAAGTCACAACACAAAATGATCAACGGTAAATTGGTAAAGGATAAAAGACATAAAATGGTACAAAAAAAATCATTTGCAAAAAAAAAAAAAAAAATCAAGGGAATGTAGGATAGGATCGGATCTTGATCCTACGATCCTACGGTCCTACTTGCGATCCTACCCATATACGATCTGTTTACAATCTAGATCGTTTTTCATACCTAGGATCGTAAGATCCTACGATCAGGATCGCGATTTTGACAACCATAAGTCAATCAACTCCCGTTAAACCATGGACCGGTTAATAAATTCATGAACATGTCCAGAGTGGATGTTTGAATTGAGATTAATTAATAACTATTGTATTAAAATATTTCACCGTTATATTAATTTACTAATACACTTTTAATTAAAAAAGAAAAAGAAAAAGAGTTTTCCATAATAAAACATTTGAGGATTATTGATTTGTTAAATCAAATATTGTTAAGCCGATTTTGCTTGATGATGTGGACATTAGCTAGCAATTAGTAAACCGCAACGATGTGGCAAGGAAAATCTACCAAAGAAGGGGTTACATAACAATTTTTCAACATTTATAAAAATTGATCATATGCATTATCAATGCACTTTTGTGGAAGGCTGGAAGCTTCCAACAAAATTTTTGATTGTTAAGCATTTTAGATCAATGGTGTTCTATATCTTCATAACCAATATCATATTCAAACAGAATTTTATGTACATATAACGAAAACGTTAACATAACTATAAATCCTAATTCATTTGCGGTATGATGTTTTTCTAATATTGTTTATAGTTATGCTTTAATTTTTAAGCAATTTGGGTCATTATATGGTTGTATATTTTCTTAAACAAAGTTATATATTACTGTTGTTCATGACTTTTTAAGTTATGTATTGAATTATTAACATTTTGGATCATTTTGGTTTGTATATACACCCTTGTTATATGTACGTTATCAAGCTTTTTCACGGCAAGGGTTCTTTGGTGGTGAGGGGTGGGAATGGTCATGTAGAAAGATGTGGGGGCATAACACCAATGTCTACATTATCAGTTTACGTCATATTTGATTTCATTCCATCTAATTTTGTAAAAATCATCAATGTCACCAAGGTTGTCAAATTTGTACCAAATAATTTCAACATTTATAAATAATTGATAGCTAATATGTTTGGAAGCTAACATATTTAGGACGTGTTTGGCACGGAGCTTTTGGAAGCGTTTAGGAGCTTCTAGCTTTTAGCTTTTGATAAAACGCTCTAGTTTAAACAAAAAGCTTCGTTTGGCAGTACGAGCGTTTAGCTTTTAGTTTTAACAAAACGCTCCGATTCTAAAAGCTACTTCATGTAGCGTTTAACAAAACGCTCCTGAGCTTTTGAAATCAATTTCCATAATTACCCTTAAAAATATATTTATATATTTATTTATTTTTAATCAAGTGTCCTTTTATGTAAATTTATATATTTCAAAAGCTTCCAGCTACTTTTGCCAAACATTCATATAACAAATAAAAGCTACAGCTTCCCGCTACCAGCTACCTGCTACACGCTACCAGCTACCCGCTACCAGCTAACCGCTACCCGCTTCCAGCTAACAGCTACTTTTGCCAAACACGCCCTTAGATGGTAACACTACACTAATTGAGTAATCATGACATTGTAATGATACAAAATTTTGAATATCATGGTTGTGCCATACCAAGTTACCAACTATGTGTGTGTGTCTATATATATATATATATATATATATATATATATATATATATATATATATACACACACACACGCTTAGAAGATATATAAGCTTAGGTACACAAACTCATCATACTACGTTGTTTTTCTATCATATTATGCATTGTAATCGTCCAAAGTTTTTAAAATTCAACTCATAACTTGATTTATTTCCAAGATTTTTATAAATTTCAGCATTATCTTCCTCTTACATCACATCTTTTTGTCGAACACCTACATGACTATACATATGATAGTTTCAAATTAAAATTATGTTGGAGGAAGATAATTGTGAAATTTCTAAAATTTTTGGAAGTAAATCAAGTTAGAAGTTCGATTATAAGAACTTTAGACGATTACAATAAATATATGATACAAAAATGACTTAGTTTGGTAGGTTTGTGTATCTAAGCTTATATACCTTTTAGGTATAAATATAGATTTGTATAAAATTGTAACTTTGTTACATTAAATATATTAAAAAGCATGTTGTATGGATTAGTAAATTATGAAAATATTTTATTTATTGTAGTTAACAACTTAACCTTATTGATTTTGCATGATACATAGATGGTATAGATATTAGATTTGAAAACGGAAAACGTTAGTAACCAAAAAGTCATAAGTGTTATTCTTACAAAAGTGCAAAAAGATCAATCTTCGAGACCTAACCTCGTCTCCTTTCATTGCTACGAATTTATCACCATTCTTAATCTGAAATGTTTGTTTTTGTAACCAGTATGTCAAGCTTTCTAATTGTCAAATACTGAAGTAGCTATGTAAAATCAAACTAAATTCTAGCAATCTAATGGTTGAAATGTGGAATGCAAACTAAAACAGTGTTGTTATTAAATGGTTACCTGGGCTTGTTTGAGATTGCTTCTTAAACTCGTTATTAAACTCGTTATTGATTTTTTTGAAAAGCCAAGAATTAATGGTATTTTTAAAAGGTTATTTTTTTTTACTTATAAGTTAGTATTTAACAAACATCTTTTTAACTTAATAGCTTTTTGAAAAACAAATAAGTCAATAAAACATTTTAAAAAGCACTTTATAAGTTAGTATTTAACAAACATCTTTTTAACTTAATAGCTTTTTGAAAAACAAATAAGTCAATAAAACATTTTAAAAAGCACTCCCAAACACATGATTGTTTGTGTGCAACTCCTTTAAACAAACAATGATTTTGAAAAATCTCATTCAACATAATTAGCCAAAAGTCTAATATTATTATTTACCATTTATAAAACCTCTAATCAATACAATCCTATATATTTAGACAACAGTTATTCATAAAATTTGGCAAATAAACTCCAAGGATTAGTATCTATAACACCATTTACTCTTGTATACTTCAGTATTCGTTTTATGTTATAACAAGTATTATCATCAATTTTAGGAAGTTCCCTCTCAAAAAAAAAAAGTATAATCATCAATTTGCAAAAAGAAAAAGCACATTGATCACAATCAAGAAAACCATGGATACCCCCAACTTCATTTGGATTATAGAATCTGTATGGAAATGTTATCAAAATTTCTAATTTCAATCTAAAAAGTTAACTATATTTCTGTTTTGATGAATAAGTACAGAGAGATTCAGTCAATTTGCCTCATCCAAATGCTTCTGATATAATTTCAACAGTTTTGTGGCTTCCTCTTCATACCTCTTCACAAGCCATTTGAGAAACTTGCTTTCTGAATACATTAACCACTTGTTGAAGCAAAAACCATATTTTTCCTCTATCAATCCTTTCTCTGCTAAATACTGATAAACCAAACACCTAGGAGGCTAGGAATAATCATCTTCTCTGAGCTAGAACAGATAACTATTGGCCATTGAACAATGTAGCTTCTTTCCTACCCCATCGTATTCACAAGAAAATCCAAGATTCTTGAAATTTTATCAGGTGAAGCCATCATACACCCTGGATATTTCTCAAAAGCCACAAAAATCTCATCTTCAGACCAACCCCATTTCTTATAAAGCTCCACCTTCTTATTCCATGTCGATTTGCTCATTGCCCTAATAGCATGAATCGCCCAAAGAAATCTAGATTTTGAAGGGTCAAACCCCGTTTCCTTCACATCCCCAACAACCTTTTTAAATCTATCAGCAGATGTAAAGAAAGTTCTAGGCTGTTGTGCTAACATTGATGCTATTCTAAGTTTAGGAACCCCTGTATCAAGTAGAAGTTGAATGTTTTCAGCAGCATAGACTTTTAAATCGTAAGTTAAAGCAGGGGGAAGCGCTTAATGCAACTGATAACTTTATCATCAAACCCTAAAACGCTTTTTAAGTAGTTAAAACATGGAATGGCTGTATCTTGCAGCTCTTTAGTCAAAATACATTTCGGTCTAGCGGCTACAATTGCAGCAATATCGGTATCTGAAAGACCTAATGAAGTCAAAGTCTGGAAACTAGGCAAAAGGGTCGTTTCAGGATCGGATAATAGGAGTTTGGGGCGCGTATAAATCACCTTTGAAACTTGCGATTTGGTGAACCCGTAGTTGTCGAGAAAGGCCAGAACAGAGTATGCCGTGTTTGGGGATTTCGAAAGATCTAGATGTTTGGAGACTAGAATTGCAGATTCGGGAGAAATCCCACATGAACTGATGAGGTAAGTGACTGTAAATGAATGTTGATTTAAGGAACCTCATGTTTTTGTTGTAAATGGGGACGACTTGGACGAGGAAGAGGATAAGAAGCCATAGCAGCGCAGTTCGTGGTTGATATGAGGCCTGGCATGGACTAAAAATTTTCTACGTACGAAATTAAACACCATTGCAACTCAGGATTAAGAATTTCAAAATAGCACCTTATATGATTGATCATTGGTGTACCAGGATGCGATGATATACGAACCTTGAGCACTAAACCCTATTCTTTCTTCGAGAGAGAGCTCCTGAGGCTATGCTGCGGCCTCATTTTCTAGTTTTACCTTTTTTTTTTGACGGGTTTCCATGTTTTTCCTGAAATCGACTTTCCACAACAAGGAAACAGTGGGTAGAATCAGCAGAAGATCGATATTTTACGAGAGAGAGAGAGAGAGAGAGAGAGAGAGAGAGAAATCAGGATTACGAGTTGTATTGATACACATACCTGACGAAGAGATGGAGAACGGGTTGAGTTTGATGAAGCCTGCAATTCGATTTTGACGAAAAAATGGAGAAGACGAGCACATTGTTGTGATGTCGGCTGAGTCCCATTTTGAGGAAAACGTGGGATAGGGTTTTTGTTTTTAGAAATGGGAACTTATTTTTCCACATGAAGTTTTTGCTATTTCTACTGAAAAACTAATACTCTCTCCCACCCAAAATTATAGTTCATCTTTTCTTTTTGGTTTGTCCCAAAATAATAGTCCACTTGTAAAAATAAATTACATTTTTACCAAAATACCCCTTATTATTACTTAACTAACTAAGCATTTAATGGAACATTAAATGCAAAGTAAGGGCAAAACTGTCATTTTATTATATAAAGTTACTGGTAATTAATGCTTTTCTTAATCTGTGTGTTTTTTGTTTGTGGATAATAATATTGGGACGAAGGGAGTATATTGAAAACTATACCCTTAATTTTAATTTGTAAAAAACTTCAAAAACGGAAATCCTGCTTTTGTTTCCAAAAACTCACGACCAGAACTCCAAACAACGCAGGATATACATCTGCTTCTTCCCCTTTCGTCGCTGCATCTGCATCTTCAGCCGACTTGCTTCAGTTGATGCTTCCTCTGACCACCAAATAAGATTTTTCTAATTTTTTCTCAATCACCAAGGATGATTATTTGATAGTTGATACCAAACAGGGCTTTAAAGATTTGGTTTTTCATGCTATAGATATATTAGTCCTGCTATGCATTTGCTATGCATTTCATCAAACACATGGTGGACGAACCAATCAGAAAAGGATATCAGACCAGAGTTATTGACACACAGAGCAAACACTGCCAACTAGACTCAAACAATATACACCATTAATCATGTCGAATTTTATAGATCAGTGGATTTTTAACCAACGGTTTCAATGGACTTAACATCCGACTTCTTCACTTCTTCCTTGGGCACAGTAATCACGAGTACTTTGTTTTCCAACGTTGCTTTCACCTGATCCATCTAGCATTCTCCGGCAACCTAAACCTTTTTGTGAACTTCCCACTGCTTCGTTTGAAACAATGCCATGTATTGTTTTTATCTTTTCTCTCTATATTTTTCTAGCCGTTGATTTGTAGAATCTCGTCGCCTTGTACATCCACCTTGACTTCTTGTTTTTTGATCCCAGGAAGATCGGCCTTGAACACATGAACTTGGTTTTCCTTCGAATCGAAACATGTCCTTACCAAATCGGCTGTTTCTCTTGATACATCAGATGCTAATGAAATCAGTTAATTTTTGAAAGGATCTCATATTTAAGACTGAAAAACGTTAAAAGATGTTGATTCATCTCCCACCGAAAGAAATTATGGGGGTGTTTGACTTGTTTTTTGAGAGGCAAAAGTCCTTTTTGGAAAAGATAAAGGCTAAAAGATGTTTGGTAAAAACATTCTAAAAGTTACTTTTGGATTTTAGACAGAAGGAAAACTGACTTTTTGGAAAAGTTAGAAAAACCTGACTTTTTGTAACTTTTCCAAAAATGATTTTTGCCTCTCAAAAAGACAAACCAAACACCCCCTCTGAATGATCTATCTACAAAGCCTACCATTTCTTTAAGTATATATCTACAAATTAAATTAGGGGCACAATTGTCAATATATTATTTTTTCAGTGGAAGGATCACAAATCTCTGTGGAAAATTCATCTCCCATTTAGAATGGTTTTATTAAAATAAAAAGGGTATAATGGTAATGTTTTACTTTTCTAGATGGTATGAAATTATTTTCATCGGTTTGTTGAAGGAATGTAGTTTCCAAGATATGAAGGAATGTTTCTCATTTAGGATTCCCTTTCCTTCCTTAAGTTAACCAAAGGCATCAATTCGAAGAAATTGAAGTCATTTTCCCTTGAATTCCAATCATTTCCTGCCATCTAAATAGTCTTTTCTTTTTTTCGGTTTCTTTGAACTTGTTAACTTTATTTGCTTTTTTTTCTTTTTATACTGATTAAATATTTTTTGTTGACTACATCGTTTTATTAAAAAAAATGATAATTAATGGAATACTTAAAAGAGATTTACAAGATCATATATATTATGTTTATTTTTATTTTATTTATATATTAAAAATAACAATGGGTATCACTGATCTCAATATTTTTTTTATAGATTGATATTTTAATAGGAACTTACAAATTAGTAACAAAAGATTGAATTCAATTTATATGTACAAAACTTAAGAAAAAGTAAACACAACTTCAAAGACTATTTTAGGTGTAAGTCTTGTACATTACTCTATGTAATGTTAATTATATACATTGTGTTACTTACAAAAATATAACTCATGCAACACTAAATATAAAATATTATTTTGTTCATCGGTAAGACACATACATTACGCTTAATATGTCTCGAGTTCTAGTCTTCTCACATTTCTTTTCATTTCTTATGATAAGACAATGGCATGTGCATACAAGTTTGTATTTTCATTCTCATAATTCTTTCATTTTCTTTTGTAAGACGTTGGCACTCAGACTAACCCAAACCCAGGGGCCGTTCGTGTAATTTACTAGAATTCTTTTGATTTTACAATTTTCTTTTCAAGTCACAATGGCACAAAAAATACAAGTTTTTCACCTTGGAAATGGTGTATATTGTATCATTGAAAATACAGTACTGACCACCATGATTGGCTTATTGCATAAAGCCATAAAATATGACTTATTTTTTTAAGATCAACACTTGAATCATGCATATGAAGTCGTGAACCACGATTTCTGTCTCTAAATTTAACTCATGAAACAAGATAGACATCAACATAGTCAAAGAAAGATTGAAATGCCTCACAATTAACAAAACAAAAGCTTGTCTGAGGAAGGAATCAAGAAACAAAACAAGGATATCTTATAGAAACAAACGATAATATAAAAAATTCCAAAACTTCAACACCAATTACAGAGATAAGTTTATCAATCAAGCTATAGCAAGTTTTGTGATCTCAAATCTAACATAAAAACCTATCATAAAGATTTCGTAACCCAAATAGTTTCTGATTATCCATAATAAAGCAAAACCGCTTCCATGATCAATCACCCTTCCGCCGGAAAGAGCATCCTTCTGTGAGTCTGGCACGACCACCGGTCGGCTGACACAACACCGTCTGACAGTTCCCACATACCACCACGGTTTGGGAGTGGCTAAATACAGTTGTGCTGTTCACAACAACATCAAAAGAGATCAAAAAAGGTAAACACAAATTGAAAGAAAATACAACAAAAATAAGATCAAAACTCACATGTTGAAACAACCCTGGCACTTCACGTCCTGTAATTGCAAAATTATAAGTTATTAGATACAAATTAGGGTTTTGTATATAAAAAAAGTAAAAGAAGCCGATACCATGAAGAAAGAGTTTGGTGACTGGACCAGACGTTTCAACTTATGCATCTTCTTCTCTAACTCAGCTGGGGGATTAAGCAGATCGAAATCGTTTGACAGACCCTATAATGTTCGATAAATTCATTATCACACATACATACATATTGCATTCAGCAACAGATTATGATAGAATTGTTAAACGAGAAACTCACCATGTTGTTTCGAACGTATCAACAGTTAACGATATTGGAGATAGAAGAATACAACTCCGAATTACAGCAGTTTCTTTCCTAAACCCTAAACGATGCTGCACATTCTACATATATTACGACGCTAGATCAATTGTGTTTGATTTCAGACCGTTCATCTAGGGTAAGGCCTGTTCGCAAACTGGGCTGGGAAGTGCAAACAATTAACAATCTATAGCCCATAACCAAAACCAGAAAACCAATAATGTATTGGGTATCCATTTTTTTTATGTTTTTTATGAGTTTTCAATTACATTCTAACATAATCTTGTTTGATATATTTTTTTATTGGATAGGATAAAAGGTTGTCACCGTTTGATATTATATTTAGAATATTTTTATTTGGTTTTGACTTTTTTAATATTTATTTTATTCTGTTAGATTCATGGTTGTATTTGATTCGGTTGACGTTGACTCAATCAAATCTGAGTCAACCAGCAACTACCAAGCAAACTTTAGTCGTGCTAACGGATATGAAATTCTACAAAGTTTTCATTTTTTATTATACACCACAAAATTCAACAAACCTTTTTTTGAAAAAAAAATATTTATTTCAACAAGTTCATATATTATAAAGTTATTGGATAATACTTGATACATTTTCTAAAAACTAGAAACTAACCTGGCCGTGTATATTAATTCCAACATTTGTACTTTTTTTCTTTATAAACATCTTTTGTGACATCGATCCTAAAACCAATTTTCATCAAATTCAAATTAGTATTTATTGAAGTTTATAATCAACGAAATCAAAAACTAAAACTAGAAATGAGCATCGGAACCAGCCTGAACCGGAACCGGCCCAGGAACCGAACTTGGCGGAAAATAGGAACCAAACCGGACCGCCGGTTCTACCGGTTCCGGTTCCAACCGGTTCTTGCCGGAATGTTGGAACCGATCCTCGAGAAATAGCAACATATTTTGAGAAATATTTTGACTACAGTTTCGGTTTTTGCCGATTCTACCGGTTCTCGGTTCCAAAATTCCACACGAATATCGTCCCGATCCCAGCCCGATCGATTCCATCCGGTTCCCGGTTCTGGCCGGTTCCCCGGTCAAAATGCTCATCCCTAACTAAAATCACTGTTTATTAGTGCTCGTCAACAAAGTAAAAAGCAAAAAAAATATAATTTAAACAAATTAAGTAAATCATATTGAAATAATTATATTTTAAAACAAAGTCAAAAACAACTAAAATAAAAACAAAATAACGAATTTAAAATTTAAGCAATACGATAGTTAAATAAATATTCATAAGAACAACACGTCAACATCACATGGAAATAAATAAACAAATTTTATTATATTGGGTGTTACATTGCACCACACAATATTTAATTTGGTTAACTCGATTGAAATCTATTCAAATAGGAGTGAACTTGGTGTTGGACTAAAACTATCGAGAACTGTGAAATGTCTGATGTGTAGGTACTAAATCCTGAACCGAATAGAATATATTGGTACTAGTACTGGTACATTTTAGTACCATTACCCTCTAGTACCAAATTTATTAGAGTTCCAATGACAATGTTCGAGGCTTTTTAATTCATCCTGTTAAGTTGATTCTTAAACATAATGTGTCGTCAAAACAATAAAGAGTATGTAGAAAAAGAAAATTAATTCATTCATTCGAATTCGTATGAGAGATTTATGATTTTTCAAAGTTTATGAAAAAATTATGCATAAACTAAAAATGTTGAAAAAACTAAGTATGTAAATAGGCCCAACAACCCATGTTTAAAGCAATGTCATGCAATCAATACTTATTTAATTAAGGTGATTTTGGATCCTAATTTCTAGTCAAGACATAGGATAAGATTCATATAAAAAAATCAAACTTATTTTGAAGACAAAATTGCAAAAAATGGTCCCTATGGTTGGCAAAATTATGTGATTTTTGTCCAAAAAGTTTTAGTGATGCACAAATGGTCCAAAATTGGATCTTTTCATTAGTTTTGGTCCCTATCAACATGAAAAGACCATTATACCCCTTATATTTGTTTTTTAATTACTTTGTATTTATTTTACTGTTTTTAATTAAATAAAAATAAACAAGGGGCCACCCCCTCCCTTTCTTTATACAACCCCTTCTACTAACTATTCCCTTTCCTGTAGATTAATTCCACCACCACTTCCTTCCCATGATCGGATTTAAACAACGAAACCAAGCAACAAGTAGTATTTATGTTGCCCTTCGTCAAAGTTATGGCTTGCTAAACAGAGTCACCGCCAGAGCTAGAGTTTGCATATCGGAGCTAGGGTTTGCAAAAGAAAAATGAAGAACACCTACTCAACCATAACCCGTGTCTGCCTTCATTCCAACTGGATCACTACAAACCCTGTTTTTTATCTTTCCTAAATCAGTATGGGTGTCGATTTCAAGAGTTTTGGCCATGGATTTGTAGGTTTATGTATGTTGAATTCAAGCTTTTTGCTAATCGTTGATGGAGGATGACAATCGTCATTATAACAATATCCAAGCAGATGGAGGTTGAAACGGAAAGGAAGACCAAGGCAGGTGGTGACAGAGAAGGCAGGCAGCGACATCCACAATTATCGAATTCCTCTCAAACTTTGTTGTAGTTCATTTCTACTGTGGTGAAAAGATCCGAACAAATGTGTGCAAACCCTAACTCCGATCTCCGCTACGACATCATCACCCTTCTCCGGTGTTAGTGGTGGCGATGAAGGGGTACAGTTCATTGGTGGACGATGACGACCGGATTATTAACAAGAGTTGGTGAAGCCGATCTCCATAATAGAATAGATAATGTTGGGTTTAAGGGAGAGATGGTGGGAGGTGGGGGTGAGAAATTGGCAGATTAGGCGGTGGGAGGTGGGTTGTTTTCGTCGCTGGAGGCAAGGCCAGCGGTGGAGGTTAGGTTTAGCAAGACCGTAAAGAAGAAGGAAGATCAAGAGAGTGAGAGGGGTGTGGACTGGGGACGATGATTTAGGTGGGGTGTTTATGTGTTTTTTTTTTTTGTTTATTTAATTAAAAAAAATAAGAAACCTTAAGAAAATAGATAAAACAAAATAAAAAACAATTCTATGGGCATATTCGTCATTTTAAGTTGGGTGTGGACCAAAACCACACAAAAATATCAACCATAGGGACCAAAACCACACAATATATCCAAAATTGGACCATTGATGCACCATCAAAATTTTTTAGACCAAAACCACATTATTTTGTCAACCACAGGGACCATTTTTGCAATTTTGTCTATTTTGAATTAGTATGAAAAAAAAAGTTATGAAGGTGATAAAAAACAATTACAAATGTTGAACAACCTCAACATCCTATGTTTGAGTTTTTGTAGCTTAACAAATACTTATCCAATTAAGTTGATTCTTGAAATTAACTTATAGCAAAGACAACAAATAATCAATATGCAATAAAAAAATCAACTCATTATGAGTTTGTACGAAAAAAGTTATGAGGTTTTGAATATGGTAAAAAACAATAAATGTTGAAACAACCTAAATATCTCATGTTTGAGACTATTTAATTCAGCAAAGACTGATTAAATCTCGTTGATTTTTTTAGTCTAAATTGTAGCCAAGATAGAGAAATATTAGTTGGAAAAAGGATTAACAAATTCAAAAAGCTCGTACGAAAGAGTTTTGAGGATCAGAACCGATAACTGGCATCGGAACCAAAAATACCGATAACCGATTTTGACATTTTTAAGGAGCGGAATACATAACCAATTTATCCTATATGGTATTGATTATGTGGATGCCAATATTTTTTTGCTCACCGTACATTCAAATAATGCAATGAGAAGAAAACAAATTTATTAACTTACTAGGCGTATTCCTGCGTGTTGCGCTGGTATGCGATTATTAAGATAAAATAGTCATGGCTAAAAGTGTAAATCAACAACGGAGCCAGTAATTTGGATATTGAGAGTACAAATATAGTCAAAATCGAAAATAAATATTTTCATAAAGTTGTTTAATGTATAAAGTCGTACGTCCCTAATGTATAATAAAAAAATTACTATTGAATTCGATGAGATTTGTTTATTGAAAACAATTGATTATATAGTTGTCAAAAATCTATAAAAACATATATTTCTCAATGAGAATGAACAAAAAATAGTTTAATTTATTTTCAATCTGACGATATTTTATATGATAAGTCTAATCTTAATTGACGAACGATGTGGTATATTTATGTTATTGTGAAGATCATAACATTACTTTTTATAGAGATGATATATAGAAAAAAATTTCTTTATTATGATATAAAGGTAACTATATTCTAATAAAAAGTATTAAATATATCGTATTTTATATGATATTGTGAAAAAAGCTTAAATCAGAATGTAGATATGAATTATATGGTCTCAACGGTATATTCCGAATGATACAAAGTTTTTTGTATTTGAAATTATAATATAAAATGTATTAAATTGTTTATATTATAACAATATATTGATAAAAACAAATAAATAAAATAAGCAAATAAACAAATCAAACAAAAAAGACCAATATGTTGTTGCCTTCTTGTTGAGGTGATGAAAATTTATATATTACCTTGTTTCTACTTGCTTGGATGGCCAAAAAAAATATCTTAGACTTTGTTTTAATAAAAAATCCAATAAACATAAAAAAAAATTAAAAAAATTTTAAAAAAAATTGTGTTTTGATTGGATTATTTTTGTGTTATTTTTAATTTGTCAATAGATTTTCATTTGAAATGATTTAGAACTAAATTCATTTGATAACTACAATGTATTTTGTTAATAAAATTTACAATGAAAGTGGATTCCATTCTTTTACAGAATTTGATTGAGTTATAATTGGTTTTAATAGTATTTATATTGAACAACACAATTGTCCATCTATTTTTCATATAGAGATTATGATCATAAAAAATAGTAATAAAAGTATTAGATTATATTTTTATTAATTAGTTATCTATAAATTTTTCTTTTACAAAAAAATTACAAATTAAATAAAATTGTTACATGGATGTACTTTATGAAATCAATAAATAAAAATATTGTATACTATAAAAAACATTAATAACCATATTAAAAAGAATATTACATGAGACGAGACGAACTAAACAAAATAAAATATTAAGAGAGCGATATATATATATATATATATATATATATAATGCAACGAAAATAGTTTTTTTCATATCTAAGTATTTTAATTCTTTTTCAAACACAACCAATGAATTTATAGAATTTTAATTCCAAATCCTTTTGAATTCATCCAAGCAAGAAACTGAACAACCAAAAGCTGTTTTAAATGAACAATTTTAATTCCAAAGAAGATCCTATCACACCGACATATTTCATCATTGAAATCTTTCTTTTACGCATAAACAACATTCTACTTCTTCATTTTCAAGTACTCTATGTAACAAAAATAAATAAGAGAATGAAATATTTTTTTTACACATCAAACAACTACAATCTACTTCTTTATTTTCAAGTACTCTATATAACAAAAACAAAAAGAGAAGAAAAGAAAATATAAGTAACAAAAAAATGAAAGATCATGTTTTTATATAAGCAAAACATTGTATTTAATCATTTAATTAAGTTGAAGAAGTTAAAAAATTATGGAGTTACAAATGAATATAGTTAAAAGAATTAAGTAGAACAAATTGAAAAGTTTTGAAGTTTCAAATCAATATAATTGAAGATAGAAGAAAATACTTGAGCCATATTGATTTATATGACATTTTTATAAGAGTTATATATATATATATATATATATATATATATATATATATATATATATATATAGATTTGGTACAATTATTTTCATTAATATATATATATATATATATATTAAAAATGTCCTAAGTTAGCAACAGTAAACTTGGTGGGTTTTGGCATCTTTAGTCCACATATTTGCTGTATCTCGGAATTGGTCCGATTCTTTGTTGAAATTGATGTTTGGTCCTTACCAGGGTATTCTCATCGGGTTACTTTACCTCAACCATGATCACCGCTTATTCTCCACCGCTTTACCAAGCCATCAGGTATACTCAACAAACATCACCGTCTTCCATCCTTCCATAACTCTCTCTATCCCTCTCGCCATTATTGTTTTCTTCCTCAAGGTTTTTTTGCTTCGTCGGTCGCCTTCTGATTCCACAGTTCGTTCCTTGCTTCTATCCTTCCTTCTATCACAGGTAATCTTCTTCTGTTCTTCCACCTTTGTTTCTTCCATTTGGTTTTTTGTTTACTTCCTTTCTGTTCTTTCGTCGGTCCTTCTTCCTATGTCTGTCCAGCCGAAGCTGAAACCTAATGACGGTGCTTCCTCCTCTGTTGGAGTTTCCGTTGGTGGCCGTCGCAGGTGTCGCCGTCTTCCAGCCTTTTCTGTTCTTCCCCAATACCTTGATTCTGGGGACTGTGACCGTGTTTGTGAGTTCTATGGTGCATATTTCTGGTATGTTGAGAGGGTCCTGAAGTTCTCCACACCTGGTCATCCGAGGTATAATCACTGTTGCAGGGGTGGGGATGTTGTGCTTCCTTACGTCTGTTAAGTTCATGATTTTTGGGGACGAATCAGTTTCTGTTAGGACAGTTGATGAAGCGTGTGGGTCTCTAAGGTATCCTACTATTCCATCGGCTTACTTTTTTTTTTCTCCATGTCGATTTGTTTTGAGTACTGGGTGTAATTGAAATTTGATTGTCGTTTTTACAAGGTTGCAAACAGAAACCCTTTTTCCACATTCTACATGCCAACTTGTTGTTTCCACTTTATATGTGTATGTGTGTCTTCGTATCTATGCCCACCACCTGTTTGAAGAAATGTCTAAACCAAATAACAAAAAAAAACATTTTTTAATTTAATGTCTGTTTATAATGCTGCTGAAATTAAATACCTTTGGTTTAGAAAGGTAAATTGTTCGTTTATATTGATTGTAATTTTCACTTCTTCTTAGTATGTTTCTTTGGCATTTCCTTTTCCTACTCTAATGATAATTGTGAGCACTATAATTTGATGCAAACTGAAAGATTGAAACCTTAGATAATAAAAGTATCAATCATATGTTTGTTTGTTGAAATCATTTCATTTTGTGATTTCATATTTATCTTTGTTTGAATTTTAAAGATATAGGTAGTAATCGGAACTCCAGGTGGCCGACAACAGGCCGGGACTGCAACAGGTGAATCATGTACTTTCTATATACGTAGATTTCTTGGGTTTATGAATTATTCAAATTTTGTGTTCCAGCGTATTCAACACCACCGAAATTGTTGCAGTATCCTTAGGTTCCTCTGAATTGTCGAACAAAAAAAATGTGTATGATTGGGAACGGGAGAGGTTCCGGTTCTCTTGTGACTCGGCTCCTGCTCATACGCTACTTCTCTGCAACTGCAAAGTCGACATCAGTGAAAGCTCAGGCTACTGGTTTGTTTCATTGGATTATTGTTTCTATTAACTTTATAATTCCATCCAACTTTACCTACAGTTATATGTGTATTGGTGTTTGACTAACAGGTGTTGGGTTAAATGTTTTACATAAATCATTATATCAGGGGATTATTGTTTCCCTAGATTTGTCTGCTAATCGTGAAAAGCAATCACCATCTCAAAACGATGCTCAGAAACTTGAAGGTTTGCTTACCGAATCCGTTCTGTATCTATGTCATTTGATTGATTGCTAAGTTGCTATTAGTGATTTTTATAATTTTAGTAACTTTGATATAGAGTCGATTGTTGAGGCTTAAGCTCATTGCATGATTGATGCAAACGAAAACTTAGATATATCAAAAATTTACCAGTATGCTTTTTTTTAAGTCTTTTATCATTGTAAAAGTCAAACTTACTTTCATCCTTAAGGAACAGTATTGATCATACTACCACATGTTATTTAGATCCTACGGGAGCGTATTTCTTGGCTTGAAGCTACAAATCAGGATTTGTGTCGCAAACCTCATGAGAATCGCAATGGAGGCATCACTATTGATCATCAATCTTTCTCTAAAGTATGTAAAAGTTTGTAACTTTTGTCAACATTTATAAAAAAAATAACCAATTATGCTGCAATTTTTCAGATTGGTGATTCCTTTTGCGTGAAAACTTAACGGCTTAAAAGGGGTTTGCAAATTATCAATTCATCAGATTATGAAATGAGTGAAAGTGGTAAGCTTAAAAAAATTATACAAATGTAAAATTATTTTTATTTAATCATTTTTTTAAATGACAATAAATATAGGCGATTCTGGTGTGATATAGGAAGAAACAGCAAAAGAATTGGAGCATCCCCTTCTCCAAGACTTTATGAATAAAAGGTTACATGAATTAAATAAACGATTAGAACAGAAAGAATCAGAAATGAGACTTTTTGAAGGATCGGATACCATGACTCTTAAGCAACATTTTGGAATGAAGTTAATGGAACGTGAGGATTAAAAACAGGCAGTTCAAGTAAAAACATAAGCATAAAAACACTATAGCTTTAAAGTTGGATTAATTTTTTTTTTTTAAAAAATTGATAATTCATGTTTTCTTGCTCATTTTTATAATTGTTGCAGTTAAATTCAAATCTCTTGAATCACAGGTTAATAATTATAAATATTTATCTTTTTAAGCATTTGATGAATATCTAATTAACATGTGGTTCTTTTTTGTGGTTGTTGCTTCAAGATATTTGAAGATAAATACCCGTCAAGTAATATTAGTTTCCTGTTGATCATAAATATGTTGTTTTTGGCCCGTATACGAAGTATCATGTAAGTAAATCATAAAGCTCATAGTAAAATTATTATTTAACTAAAATCACAAAACTTAATTTCCAAATAAATTCATGAATAAAAATTGGTTAAATTGAAATTTTTCATTCCATTAGTCAAGTGAAGGATTAACAAAATGGAAGGGGTCATATTCCAAAGTAATATAATGAGTGATTCCATTCCGTTTATGATTCCATGAAATCAAGAGGTAAATTTATAGAATCAAAAGTTAAAAATTAACTCTCCAAATGCAGTGCAGATGTATGGCTAAGTTTCTGATTGGTCTCTTTTGGGTGGGAATGTTCCATCACCTCTACAATCAGGTATGAAAAAATATTGTAGGTTTACGAAAAAAAACTTACCCACCTTTTTAATATAACCATAAAAGTCATTGGTCAAAATGTGGTAGGTTGACCTGCATACATTTTTCAACCCGTGTTGAGATTCGGTGAATAATTAAGGGACATTTGCAGAATATAGCAATGTAATTTACTTTTTTTTTTGTCGTAATAATATTGTAATCTTATTTTTATTATATGATTATCTGGCTTCACACTTTGTCCGAGACCATGCCAGAGAGCATTGTGCGTTCCCTGGTCTCTAAAAAACAGAAAACTCCAGACACCAAGTATTTTTACTTGACCATTTTGCCCTTGATAAAAAAATTATTTTTAATGTTGATTAAACATTCACTTCAATATGTTGACTTGGTAAAGTAAATGATAGTTTTGCATTTTTGAACCACATATATTGTTTTTTTCCATTCAAACCATCAAAATGGTTAATTTGGAAAAAAAGATTTGATTGGGTCCAACTAAATTGAAAAATATTAATTTGATTGCGCCACAGAAATAGCCCTTGAGAGAGCCAAGTAATTAACAGATTTTATTATTTTCCACAATTTATATAATGATTAATTACTACCCTCCGACTTTCAGGCTATTACTAGAATCAGTCCTTACTACAACAAAAAAAAAACTCACTGGAAGACGATGGTTCCAAAGTGGAAAAGCTTCTGCAGTAAGTTATTCTGTTTATGCCTTTATGCTGATGTGGCATTGATGACTTCAAATGGCAATGATGTGGCTGGCGATGACATGGCATTAACATACGTTTTATATTGTTACTTTTGGCAGAGACATGCAGTATATGAAATTTATTTTGAATATAATGTCTGTTTGGTTGCAATATTTGATGTGTTACCATGTTGTTGACTAAGAGTCACCACAGATTGATGAAGTGATACTCAGAATTTTGTCTATATCTGGAGTGCATTCCTCTGGTTTTTCCCAGGTGACATCATAGTTTCAGTACATTTTTGTCTCTGGAATCACACAAATTTACTAAACGTAACTTTGATTTATAGCAGTGATGCAGGATTTAGTGGTGGTGGACTGCTTATACAGTCGGAGATGCAACATGGTCCGGTGAATATGGTGGCGGGTGCCCAGAATGTGAATGGGGTTGCAGTTGGTGGACTTGAAGGGTATTTGGGTAATTCGAGGTTTTCCTATTAGGTTACTCATGGTTATGGCAATGGAATGGAATCACAACATAACATTTCAAACTCTGGAATTATGGATTCCATTTCGGTTTCATATCAGTTAAATGGAACAGTTATGGATGACTCTCCTTCATATCTGTCGTTTACTTTTTGGAGTATCCAAATCTGTGGATTAATATAAGAATTCAATTTTATGACCCTTTTTTTTTGTAGGGATATGAGTTGTTACATTGAAGGCAGCCTTGCATCCAAGAAGTTTTTATTACTGAAAATTTGGAACTTAGTGTTAAACTCCCATGAAGTAATGTGAAAGAAGTTGCTGAGAAGGAACCCAAGAAGAAGGTCAAGGTATGGAATGGAATCATTCATTCCATTGGAATGAAATAAAAAACGTTTTGTTTTTGTTGGATGGAATTAAAGTGATAAAACTAATTCCATTCCTTTGTTTCATGTTTTAGAAAAGCTCTGTGGATGCAATCTGTACCACAAGAGGCATATTTCCCCGGTTGTTCTTTTTTTTTTTGTTTGAATTTATTGTAGTACACTCTTATGTTTAAAATGAAAGACCAATTCATCAATTTTTTTAATTTGAAAGGTGATGGGGTTACTTTGTTAGCATCGCTTAACTGTTTTCCCAAATCTATTTCTTATTTATCTTTGTATGTTTTCCCAAATGCAATGCTATAATTGGAAGAATTTAAAGGAGGCGAATCATGTGAAACAAGGACACATTTTAGAATGACACATGCAAAAAAAAAAGCACACACTGACCCGGGCCCCGGGGTACCCTGCTAGTTTACATTAACCATTTGTAATTATACAATCTACATTTTTTTTGCACAATTTTAATTAAATTAACTAGAATAAACAAATAATTCGGAACAATAATACTAAAAAGAACAGATAATATGCCTCATCATTACCGTCGTTATCAATGATTTATATGAAATATTTATATATAATTGTATAAAGATAAAAATGCTTAATCAGTAAATATAAAAGTTTTCTTTAGTTCGTTAAAAGTATGCCAACCGATCACTTTGATAAGAGAAGGTTCATGTGGTGCTTTTTGAAGCAATTTACAATTCTGTTCGGCGGCCTTTTTTTAATAAAGAACTTGTGAAATGATGCTTTCCAGTTTCCACACATATTATAAACGGAATGAAGAAGTATATATAAAAAGATATATAACATATCTAGACAGACAATCTACCAGTTATATACTTATATTTTGATAATAATAACAACCAAGAGTATACAAAAAAGATATATAACATATCTAGATAGACAATCTACCAGTTATATACTTATATTTTGATAATAATAACAACCGTACCTATTCTTTTGTTTCTATTTAAGATTATATTATACATGTATAATTGTATTATAATGGTGAATATTTGAACCGGACCATATATGTTTGTATTATCGGGTTCAGGTTTAGGTTCTGGACCGGTACAATTTTAAAGACATAAAGTACAACTCATTTAACTCTACCAAAAATTAGTTTATCTATTATGACTCATAAGGTTGAACATTTGGATTGGACCGGACCAACTCTTGGACCGGACTTGTTTGGTAGAAATTTGTGGAACTTAAACCGGACTTGTTAAGACTTACCGGGTTCAGATCCAATATAGAGGTCCAATGCTCACCCATAAGAACATGTTCAATTACATTTTATTTTAATATTTTATTTTAAAATGTAAAATAAAATTAGATTTTAGATCGGCTCATCTTGGGCCTCACTTTAAATTCTATTTTACATTTCAAAGTAGAATATAAAATAAAGTTTACATACCGCATTTCTTTTATTTTACATTTTATAAATAAAATATAATGATAAAAATATAATAAAAGAAGAAATACTCTAATAACTAAAATAACTTTTCTTTTTTGATTTTTTTTAAACAAATCTAATCTATTCCTATTTTAGTTATGTCTCCGGCGAGACGTGAATAACTTGAACCCTCGATCTCAAGTCGACACCTAATACCGCTAGACCAGAAGCCTTTTGATTTTCTATTTTGATTAGTTGATGGATTGATCCACTTGTTTCAAATTATAAGCAGCTAAATATTCGACCGAGATAACTTTTTATATGTTTCAAAATAGGTTGCGTAAGATTTGGTAACAAGATAGTCAAAAAAATCGAAATTACACACCATAGCCGTCAATTTCACAAATGGATTAGGATTAGCTGTGAAATAAATATTCCATCAGCGAACGTACAAGCAGTGTATGTACGTTTCTGCTTCGTAGACTTGTACGTTTACATATAGTTTTTCCATATATGAAATCAACAATAACCATCTATGAAATCATTGTTTGAAGTATAAATACCAACAAGTTAGCCACATTTCATAGATGAATTGCATTCCATCTGTGAAATGCTTTCATTTTATATATGAAATCATTATTTGAAGTATAAATAGCCATATTTCATAGATGAATTACAATCCATCTATGAAATGCTCTCATTCCATCTACGATTTGTAGGTAGATTTTTTTTAAATAGTTAGTTTTGACTACAATTTTTTTAAGGTTGATTACGAAATTAGACAATTATGATTGCAAATTCGTACAAATTAGTAGATTTTCTCGTCCATAGCCTCCTCAACAATTTTTTTCAACCAAAAAACTAGGAAAATGAGTGATTTAAAAAAAAAGGTTTTTATATCTAAAATTGATTGATTTCATAGATGAAATGACTAATTTCATAAATGGATTTTCCATTTGTGAATGTACAACTCTCCGAAGCAGATTCGTGCATAAACTGTTTGTACATTCACAGATGGAATACTCATTTCATAGTTGGTCCTAATCCATTTGCAAAAATGATGGCTTGTGTGTAATTTTGATTTTTTTGGCTATTTTTTACAAAGTAATTAACAAATTTGGCTATATTAGCAATTTTCTCAATTATATATATATATATATATATATATATATATATATATATATATATATATATATATACACACACACACACACACACATACTAGGCGTATGCCCGCGCGTTGCGCAGAAAGACCTATATAGTTGAAATAATTATAAATATATGTTATTTTTAAATATAACAATAACATTGTTTTTAAATTTGATATAATAATTCGTATACTAAATTGATATAATATATTTATTATTTTGAGTTATATGATAATATATAACATCTATTATAACTACATAATCACAATCTTTTGAGTGACTTCTACCACGAAGGTGTGGCCGGAGCGCATATTGTGTTTTCTAGGTTGTGCTTTTTGGCAGTTATCTGGCATTGGGTGTATTGGGATCTAGAAATATTTTTTGATGAACATACAGGAAAACCTTCTTTGGATTTGCCCAAGATCTTTGGAATACATTTATTTCTTGCAGGTGTGGCTTGCTTTGGTTTTGGTGCATTTCACGTAACAGGTTTGTATGGTCCTGACATATGGGTGTCCGATCCTTAAATATAATATATGGTTTAATGTTATTTATAGTTGTTGTTATTGTTAATTAATTTTTTAAAATTTATTAGCTTAATGTTTTAATTTAGATCATTGTAATTATTTAAAACATCAAACATTGTTTTTTGTTTTTTAAAGTTAACAATATAATCATTTATATAGAGTTATTTTAACTATTGTTATAATAAGTTATTTTAACCTACTTATTTGAAAACTTTTAATAATTATAAAAATATCTTTAGGAAATATTTTAGTTAAATTGAGATCACATTTTAGTTTTTGCATTTAGGACTACATTTTATCACTTTTAACTATTCACAAAATATTCTCTGGGTTTTTAAGTGGATATTTAATTTATACTTAAGTTGACCATGTAATATTATATTTAAATTAACAATTTAAGTATTTTATCCAAACTGTTCAAAAGTTGTAGCTTTAAACTGATAATGGTTTACATACAACAACATACTAAATCTAATAAATTAAGTATACTATGTTAAAAGTTAAAGACATAACTTTATAAGTAGAAGTAAAAATATTATTTTAATATTGAAATTTAGTTTATTTATGAGTACACTTTAGGTTTGACATTTATTTAACCTAACTAACCAACTTATAATCATTATTAGAAAGAAACTACAATTTATCACTTTTAACTATTTACAAAATATTCTTTAGGTTGTTTAAGTTGAATTAAAATTTATATTTAAGTTGACCCTATAATGTTATATTTAAATTAACAATTTAAGTATTTTATCAAAACTGCACAAAAGTTGCACCTTTAAAATGATAATGGTTTACATACAACCAGGGGCGGAGCTTCAACGTTTGATTCAGGGGGGCCGAAAATATAATATGTATAAAAATTGGTATATAGGGGGGGCACAGTCAAAATTTTATATTTTTGGGCCTAAAATGTATAAAATGAAACTATAAGGACTATTTATAAACAAAAAATCAGGGGGGGCCACAGCCCCCCCCCCTTGCCCTAATAAATCTCCGCCAATGCATACAACAACATTTTAAAACTAATAAATTAAGTATAATATGTTCAAAGTTAAAGACATAACTTTATATGTAAAAGTAAAGATATTATTTTAATATTGAAATTTAGTTTTTATATATGATTACACTTTAGGTTAGATATTTATTTAATCTTATTAACTAACTTATAATCATTATTAGAAAGAATTTGAAAATTCATGAGAGTTTCAAATGAATATGGTGAAAGGAAATATGCATGAAGTTTCAAATGAATGTGATGAAAGAAAAAATGTTTCCTTTATAATATATATATATATATATATATATATATATATATATATACAGGAGAAGTGAATATACATTTAAAGGTATAAAAGCTTAGGTACCCACACCCACCATAATATATCGTTTTGTTTGATATATTCATTATAATGTTCTTAAACTTTAACCCCTAACTTGATTTACATTCAAGATTTTTGAAATTTCACTATTATCTTCTTCTTACATCATATCTTTTTGCCGAACACCTACTAGCCTATATATATTATAGTTGAAAATAAAAATTATGTAAGAGGAA